CCTCGAGTCTCGGAAACAAACGAACCAGGACCAGAACCGTGTCCAGGACCAGAGAGGACCAGAAGTAAACAGGAAGTAAACAGGAAGTAACTAAGCTGCAGAAACATGACTCCAGACGTGTCAGGGGCAGGTCTAAGGTTTGGATTCAGAGCCGGGATCCAGACCAGAGTCTGGTTTGAAGAACAGAGACTACATTCTTTAGACAAAGTCTCAGCAAAGGCACAAAGTCACAAAGAAACTCTGAGATTTAAGGGTTTGAAAAAGGCAGAAAACACCTCCGCACGACAGAGGCTGAGGACTCATGGAAAGAGTTTGAAAGCTGATGGTTCAGACAGAAGGGGCGGGGAGCTGTGTCTGCAGAGAGGAGCAAGAACACTGGTGACCCCCAGAGCAGTCATTTAGACGGCTCCCATTAAGGGCAATGGAATTCTGAAAAACATCTGGTTTTTGCACCAGTTTTATCAAAAGTATTTTGATAAATCATTTATAAAGTTTTACGTCACTTTTAACAAGTGCTGTTGCCTCCAAAACTCAACCCTGCTCTGTGCCTCTAGAGTTGAACCATAATCTACCATTCTGAGAAATGATGAAAATCTGCTTCTTATTATATTAAAGTTAAAGAGACAGTACATAATGTTTAAATCTACTTTAATATACACAAACTGTGGTTGTGTCCTTAGGCAAGACACTTCCCCCACATTAGAATGAGTCTGGTGTGTGTGTGAATGGTTGGTGGTGGGAGGGGCTTCTGTCAGTGTGCCCCAGGGCAGCTGTGGCTACAGTAGTTTATCACCACCGTGTTCAGAGAGAGAATGATGTGAAGAGACTTTGAGCGTCTGAAAGAACTGTATAAAACCATTATTATTATTATTATTATTACTACTACGTACTGTCTCTTTAAATCTTTCCTCCATCTGCAGCGGCTCATGTCTGAGAACACATCAGCCCAGCTCTGAAGTCCCTCTTCAGACTCTGCGTCTCCGTCTCTGAGACATTTTTGCAGCGTACACAGAGAAAGTAACGTAGTGTTGAGTTGTTTTAACCTTTGATCGTTTCATTCACAAAAAAACAGACGAAAAGCGGCAAAAATTAACAAGAAATTTACATCAGTGCAACAACAAAAAATACAGTTTTCAAATATTCACAGACAGAAAAAACACAGACAAATCCAATATGGAGGACGATCAGTGTGACGTGTGGAATGAGACCCGCCTCGTTTGGGCCACGGACCATTTGGAAACAGCTTCAGGTTTTTTTAAATGTGGACCAATCAAAACGAACCCGGGACGAGAGGACGCCATTGGACGATCTGAGAGACACAGGAGCCACAAAGCACCAGAGAAAATACATCTAAACACAGCTGGAAATGGAGAAATGTGGTTCTAGGATCTGAGACCAACCCAGAGACGCTTTTAGGAGAGGACTTTAAGTTTTAGTATTTACTGGAGAAGCAGGTTTTAGCCGATCTGAGAATGTGTTGAGAGTCGATCAGACACTGAGCTGGTTAATTAGTGAGAAAAAGGAGGTATCCAGCTGTAACATGTCCAGCCTGCACTGGCGGGTGACACACGGTCCGCCCCTATATTCAGTCCATCCACACATATACAGTGTCTATGGTTCCACGCTGCTCTCTCCCGTTACAAACCGCGGCCTGTGCCTTTAAGAATCTACAGACGGCTTTTATCTCCTCCGTTTTCAGGTTTGCCCTTGGACCGAGACCAGCCCGGATCCCGAGGACAGTCTGGGGACGTGTGTTTGTGTTTCTTTTCACTCAAATCTTTTCCTCCGTCACGTGCCGTTTCCACATCCCTTTGAGGTTTGTGGATCTGGCTTTTCACACATCAAAAGTCAGTCCCTGGAGAAGGCGCATCAGATCCCATTCCACAGGTTTTCACACCAACACTTCATCCACAGAGCGACAGAGACGAGAGAGAGGGCTTTGAGTTTGCAATATTTGTTATGACGAGTGGAGATGTCTGCGATGAACGCTTTGGACTCATTCTTTTGGACGTCTTAGAGACATGTGAGACTATTCTAGAGACTATTCTAGAGACATTTGTTTAAAGAGACATGATGAAAAGCGTCTCTTTACCTTTGAAACCCTCGTGTTCCTTAAACTCGGAGCCACACTGAGGTGTTACTGATGTTCGGTGAATCGATTCTTTTCAGTATCGCAATATTTTTCTCAAGATCATGAAAAATGTCCCTTTAATAATAACGGATGTTTAGTCAGAGAGTCTTGAACCTTTCCCAGGTCACATGTGAATACTGCAAACTCAAATCCTCGTCTGGATTCAAGGATGTTCACATAAATCAATTGTTTTTCAGAAAAAACTACAAAGATTCAGTGAAATGTTAAGGTTCAGGAAATAAGAGCTTTTCTCAGAAAAAGGCAAAAAAGGGCAAATGCGAAAGTGAAAGTCACGTCTGCAGAAAGTTAGAGACAGAGTTAGACTCAGGACATGTTTTCTCAAACAATTATAAGACAAACTTATTCTGAGAAGAATCTAAAACAAAAGAATAAACTCAGCCGGTTCTGAAATCAAAGAAACAGAACAGACTAAAGCTGAAAGTCTGAGCTTTAAACAGGGCTCTCCAGCCTTAGCCCCGCCCCTCATGGTCCCGCCCGCTCATGGCCCCGCCCCCACATGGCCCCGCCCCCACATGGGTGATAATCATTCTATGGGAAAATACATTCAATATCTACTTTTAGCATTTTTAGTCAAAATGAGGATTGATTGTTTTATTTAACACAAAACTAAAATGCCCCAAAAAACATAGAAATCGACCAAATTTGAAAATAACTCATAAAATCAGCAGGAAACAGACACAAGTGTGAATGTCTCAGTCTTGGATCAGGACCGAGACCGAAGGAGACGTCTGAACGGTTTGGACCAGTTTGGACCAGTTTAGACCAGTTTAGACCAGATTGGACCAGTTTGGACCAGTTTAGACCAGTTTAGACCAGTTTAGATTCTCATGTGTGTATTTTAAGCCGTTTCACTTCGACGTGACATAAATTATACTGTTTCATTGGCTTCACTTTGAGTGGAAACAAGTTTACTTTTCTGTTTTCTTCCAAAACAAAGTCGTGGTAAATGTTTTTACAGAGTGTTTGTGTTTCGAGGCCGGCGCAGGGAGAGTCGACTTTCATATTCTTCATTTGCACTTATTTCTCAGAAGAACATGACGATAATAACACACATGGCCACATTAGTCTGAGTTATGTTTCCTGACGGGCTCCGAGCTCGTTGCCATGGAGACTCTAATAGAAACTTATCATTTAACTGTTTTTACTGCTCAAAAACCTGAATTATGTGGGATTCTTATATGTCTTCTGTCTCTTGAGTTTCAGGGCTCTATCTCTTGTTCTCGCTCTTTTCAGAAATAGACTGAACAAAAAACTTCTAAAAATAAATTTAAACGTTGGAGATAATATTTGGCTAAAACCAATGTTTAGGTCATAGATAAATATATAAATAAAACATAATTCTTGCAGCGTCTCACCTCAAACTCTGTCGTCTGAGTTTCAAAACAAGTTCCTTCTTCACATTCGTTAAAAACCGGTTAAAGTCGAGCACTTGGATTCACATGGTAATAAATAAATAAAGTTTGGGTTAAAGCCTCTCTCTGTGGCTCCTGTGGCTCCTGTGGCTCCTGCGGCTCCCAGGGGCCTCAGGTGAAGTGTGTCAGAGGCTGGCTCACTCTCATACAGGCCCAGTACACAGCCCGGCCCAGAGTCACCAGCACCAGCAGCAGCAGCACGGACCAGGAAGCGTAGATACCAGGATACAGCTGGGCCTGAGACCATACATATAGGACAGGGTTATATACTGTACATATAGGACAGGAGTTATATACTGTACATATAGGACAGTTATATACTGTACATATAGGACAGGGTTATATACTGTACATATAGGACAGGAGTTATATACTGTACATATAGAGCAGGAGTTATATACTGTACATATAGAGCAGGAGTTATATACTGTACATATAGACAGGAGTTATATACTGTACATATAGGACAGGAGTTATATACTGTACATATAGGACAGAGTTATATACTGTACATATAGGACAGGAGTTATATACTGTACATATAGACAGGAGTTATATACTGTACATATAGGACAGGAGTTATATACTGTACATATAGGACAGGAGTTATATACTGTACATATAGGACAGAGTTATATACTGTACATATAGGACAGGAGTTATATACTGTACATATAGGACAGGAGTTATATACTGTACATATAGACAGGAGTTATATACTGTACATATAGGACAGGAGATATTTACAGTCTGACAGCAGCAGGAAGGAAAGACCTACAGAACCTCTCCTTCACACATCGAGGGTGAATTAGTCTGTCACTGAAGCTGCTCTCCAGAGCAGAGAGAGTGTCCTGCAGGGGGCGACAGTCATGGTCCAGCATAGATGTTAGTTTGCTCAGGACCCTCCTGTCCCCCACCTGCTGCACTGTGTCCAGGGAACAGCCCAGGACTGAGCTGGACTTCCTGATGTTCCAGCTTCTTCCTGTCCCTCTCTGTGATGCTGCTGTTCCAGCAGACCACACCTACATGAGGCTGATGCCACCACAGAGTCATAGAAGGTCGAAGGTAGAGGCGGCTCTGGCCCTTCTTGAAGAGGGCGTCTGTGTTATGAGTCCAGTCCAGTTTGTGGTTCAGATGAACACCCAGGTACTTGTAAGAGTCCACTCTCTCAATGTTCTTTCCCTGGATGTTCACTGGAGCTGGAGCGGCAGAGTGACCTCTGCGGAAATCCACCACCATCTCCTTGGTCTTCCCCTGAGTAGAGGAGGGGGGTAAGTGTCTTTGGTAGAGCTGGGGGGCCATGGGAGGAGGACTGTCATGACTCCCGTTGGTAAAAACCATAAAAATGATTACATTTTCTATAAAACTAGTGAAAAGCTAAATCAGTTTTTTGCAAATGTTTCAACATTCCATTGATCTGAACTGGAGCCGTCAAAATGACTGTTCTGGGAGTGCTGTGTTTAACCTGGATCATTGTCAGAGAAGACCCGGTCCATGCCTCTGTGTGGCCCTCAGACCCGGTCCATGCCTCTGTGTGGCCCTCAGACCCGGTCCATGCCTCTGTGTGGCCCTCAGACCCGGTCCATGCCTCTGTGTGGCCCTCAGACCCGGTCCATGCCTCTGTGTGGCCCTCAGACCCGGTCCATGCCTCTGTGTGGCCCTCAGACCCGGTCCATGCCTCTGTGTGGCCCTCAGACCCGGTCCATGCCTCTGTGTGGCCCTCAGACCCGGTCCATGCCTGTGTGGCCCTCAGACCAAAGAACTGAATAAACCTGATGCATTATTATTATTATTATTATTGAGTCAGTGTGTGTGTGTGTGTGTGTGTGTGTGTGTGTAAGTGTGCGTCTGTGTATGTTTGTAGGGGTGTTTTTGTGTCTGTGTATCTGTGTGCGTGTATGTATGTTTGTGTTTGTGGGGGTATGGGTGTGTGTGTGTGTGTGTGTGTGTGTGTGTGTCTCCCAGTGATGGATTAGTTCCAGATTCTTCCACAGCTGCCATTAGCTTCTGTATGTTCCACAAACACCAACGTCAAACAACTTATTTATGACGAGTGACACACACACACCTGTGAACACACACATACACACACATACACACACACCTGTGAACACCTCTGCTGCAGACTGCCCCTGTGTCTTTGGGCAACACACTCCTGAGCCTGCAGCAGACACACAAACTTGTGTCCCTGTGTTTCCTGTTTAATTTTCTGATCTGAGTTTGAGAATCAACAACTTTGTAAAGTCCTCGCAGAGAACGACTGATACACAAATACATCAGACACACATGTGTGTGTTTGGACCGACACGTGTGTGTTTGGACCGACACGTGTGTATTTGGACCGACACGTGTGTGTGTGTGTTTGGACCGACACGTGTGTGTGTGTGTGTGTTTGGACCGACACGTGTGTGTTTGGACCGACACGTGTGTGTGTGTTTGGGCCGACACACGTGTGTGTGTGTTTGGACCGACACGTGTGTGTGTGTGTTTGGACCGACATGTGTGTGTGTGTGTTTGGGCCGACACACGTGTGTGTGTTTGGAACGACACGTGTGTGTGTGTGTTTGGACCGACACGTGTGTGTGTGTGTTTGGACCGACACGTGTGTGTGTGTGTGTTTGGACCGACACGTGTGTGTTTGGACCGACACGTGTGTGTGTTTGGGCCGACACACGTGTGTTGTGTGTTATAGTTTCCTCAGTCTCTGTCCTCAGTCTCTGTCCTCAGTCTCTGTCCTCAGTCTCTGTCCTCAGTCTCAGTCTCTGTCCTCAGTCTCTGTCCTCAGTCTCAGTCTCTGTCCTCAGTCTCTGTCCTCAGTCTCTGTCCTCAGTCTCTGTCCTCAGTCTCAGTCTCTGTCCTCAGTCTCTGTCCTCAGTCTCTGTCCTCAGTCTCAGTCTCTGTCCTCAGTCTCTGTCCTCAGTCTCAGTCTCTGTCTCTCTGTCCTCAGTCTCTGTCCTCAGTCTCAGTCTCTGTCCTCAGTCTCTGTCCTCAGTCTCAGTCTCTGTCCTCAGTCTCTGTCCTCAGTCTCAGTCTCTGTCCTCAGATCCTTCTATTTGAGTCTTCTCCCACTGAGGAGCTGCAGACGAGGAGTGGGACGACTCTCAAAGCAGCTTTTGTTCGAGCTGCTTCCCGCTAACGCTAAAGCTAAAGCTAACGGGCGATTGTCTCCACAGGACGTCACGGAGGCTGAGCCGATGGCCTCACTCTGAGGACAACACACTCTGTGTCCTGAAGCACCGCACTTCAGTGGGAGAGCGACAACGCATCACAACAGCACAGTTCACACACAAGGAAACAGGCACACCAGTCCCTGTGCTCCTCCGAGTCCCAGTCCCTGTGCTCCCCAGAGTCCCAGCAGGAGGCCAGTCCCTGTGCTCCTCAGAGTCCCAGCAGGAGGCCAGTCCCTGTGCTCCTCAGAGTCCCAGCAGGAGGCCAGTCCCTGTGCTCCTCAGAGTCCCAGCAGGAGGCCAGTCCCTGTGCTCCTCAGAGTCCCAGCAGGAGGCCAGTCCCGGTGCTCCTCAGAGTCCCAGCAGGAGGCCAGTCCCTGTGCTCCTCAGAGTCCCAGCAGGAGACCAGTCCCTGTGCTCCTCAGAGTCCCAGCAGGAGGCCAGTCCCTGTGCTCCTCAGAGTCCCAGCAGGAGGCCAGTCCCTGTGAAGAGCGGCTTCCTTTTGTCGGTCTGCCTCAAGTCGGCTGTGGCTACAGCAGGAGGTTCTAACCTGTGTGTGGAGGAACATGGATTAAAGCAAAGGATGAATTCTGATTCTTTTACACTCTTCACTTTGTCTTTAGGTTGATGTTAAACTCTTATAGTCAATATAAATCTGACAAAGGCCTGATGTGAACCCAAAAGGCCCTCCTCCCTCCTCCCTCCCTCCTCCCCCCCCTCTCTCCCCTCTCCCCCCTCCCTCTCCCCCCTCCCTCCTCTGCCTTTCGGTCTCTGCTCCAGTGTCCGGAGTCCAGTCCTCCTCAGTCCTCCACACCCAGGACCCAGTGCTCAGTTTGGGGACCTTCTTAGACCTACACAGTCCTCCTCAGTCCTCCTCAGTCCTCCTCAGACCTCCTCAGACCTCCTCAGTCCTTCTCAGACCTCCTCAGACCTCCTCAGTCCTCCTCACCTGCACAGACCTGCACCATGACCTGCGCTCTCCTCACTCTGGCCTCGGCGTTGATCCTGGGAACAGGTAAAAGCTGCCGCTGTTGACCCAGACCCTTCTCTGGATCTATTATTGTCCATATTTCTCCTCTGTGGCTCCTTGCTCTTCCTCTGTGGCTCCTTTCTCTTCCTCTGTGGCTCCTCGCTCTTCCTCTGTGGCTCCTTTCTCTTCCTCTGTGGCTCCTTTCTCTTCCTCTGTGGCACCTTTCTCTTCCTCTGTGGCTCCTTTCTCTTCCTCTGTGGCTCCTTTCTCTTCCTCTGTGGCTCCTTTCTCTTCCTCTGTGGCTCCTTTCTCTTCCTCTGTGGCTCCTTTCTCTTCCTCTGTGGCTCCTTTCTCTTCCTCTGTGGCTCCTTTCTCTTCCTCTGTGGCTCCTTGCTCTTCCTCTGTGGCTCCTTTCTCTTCCTCTGTGGCTCCTTGCGCTTCCTCTGTGGCTCCTTTCTCTTCCTCTGTGGCTCCTTGCGGTTCCTCTGTGGCTCCTTTCTCTTCCTCTGTGGCTCCTTTCTCTTCCTCTGTGGCTCCTTTCTCTTCCTCTGTGGCTCCTCGCTCTTCCTCTGTGGCTCCTTTCTCTTCCTCTGTGGCTCCTTTCTCTTCCTCTGTGGCTCCTTGCTCTTCCTCTGTGGCTCATTTCTCTTCCTCTGTGGCTCCTCGCTCTTCCTCTGTGGCTCCTTTCTCTTCCTCTGTGGCTCCTTTCTCTTCCTCTGTGGCTCCTTGCTCTTCCTCTGTGGCTCCTTTCTCTTCCTCTGTGGCTCCTTGCTCTTCCTCTGTGGCCCTTTCTCTTCCTCTGTGGCTCCTTTCTCTTCCTCTGTGGCTCCTTTCTCTTCCTCTGTGGCTCCTTTCTCTTCCTCTGTGGCTCCTTTCTCTTCCTCTGTGGCTCCTTGCTCTTCCTCTGTGGCTCCTTTCTCTTCCTCTGTGGCTCCTTGCTCTTCCTCTGTGGCTCCTTTCTCTTCCTCTGTGGCTCCTTTCTCTTCCTCTGTGGCTCCTTTCTCTTCCTCTGTGGCTCCTTGCTCTTCCTCTGTGGCTCCTCGCTCTTCGTCTGTGGCTCCTTTCTCCTCTGAGCGGCACGGTGGCTGAGTGGATAGCACTCTCGCCTCTCAGCAAGAAGGTCCTGGGTTCAAATACCGGTCGGAATGGGGTCTTTCTGATTGGAGTTTCCTCCGGGTACTCCGGTTTCCCCTACCACATGCACACTAGGTTAAATCCTCCAGCTCTGTTACTACGGCCTATGGGGACATTTACCTTTCTCCTCCTCTGGGCTCCTTTCCTCAGACCTATGACCATGGAGTGATGTGTTGGATCCAGTGAAGTCCAGACTCAGACCTGGTTTGGACCTGGTTTGGACCGGTTGGGATTTCCTTTACAGTTTGTGAGACTTTAGAGAATGATTGAGACGCAGTGAAGTGAAGAAACTGGAAACATGAAAGAACCTGTTTGCCTCAAACTGATTTATGATTCAAAGGGACGATTGTTTTCTTCATACGTTTACCAAAATGGTCCCCTCTCACTCAGGATCAGTGTCTCCTGAGGAACTCAGGGTATTTCCTAATTACAGCCCAGGAAAAGCCACGACTGTAAATGACTCACTATGGACATGTGGTCTGTAGCTTTATGCTGGTTCTATCTTTGTGATGATCTTTAAAATCCCGGCGCTAAATGTGACCCAGACCAACCTCCTGCAGAACGGTCTCCTGGGCGGGGTCACGTTGGACACAGAAGGGGCGGGGTCACGTTGGACACAGAAGGGGCGGGGTCACGTTAGACACAGAAGGGGCGGGGTCACGTTGGACACAGAAGGGGCGGGGTCACGTTAGACACAGAAGGGGCGGGGTCACGTTGGACACAGAAGGGGCGGGGTCACGTTGGACACAGAAGGGGCGGGGTCACGTTAGACACAGAAGGGGCGGGGTCACGTTAGACACAGAAGGGGCGGGGTCACGTTACGTTAGACACAGAAGGGGCGGGGTCACGTTAGACACAGAAGGGGCGGGGTCACGTTGGACACAGAAGGGGCGGGGTCACGTTGGACACAGAAGGGGCGGGGCCACGTTAGACACAGAAGGGGCGGGGCCACGTTAATCACAGAAGGGGCGGGACACGTTAGACACAGAAGGGGCGGGGCCACGTTAGACACAGAAGGGGCGGGGCCACGTTAGACACAGAAGGGGCGGGGTCACGTTAATCGCAGAAGGGGCGGGGCCACGTTAGACACAGAAGGGGCGGGGTCACGTTGGACACAGAAGGGGCGGGGTCACGTTAGACACAGAAGGGGCGGGGTCACGTTGGACACAGAAGGGGCGGGGTCACGTTAGACACAGAAGGGGCGGGGTCACGTTAGACACAGAAGGGGCGGGGTCACGTTGGACACAGAAGGGGCGGGGTCACGTTGGACACAGAAGGGGCGGGGCCACGTTAGACACAGAAGGGGCGGGGCCACGTTAATCACAGAAGGGGCGGGACACGTTAGACACAGAAGGGGCGGGGCCACGTTAATCACAGAAGGGGCGGGACACGTTAGACACAGAAGGGGCGGGGCCACGTTAGACACAGAAGGGGCGGGGTCACGTTAATCACAGAAGGGGCGGGGCCACGTTAGACACAGAAGGGGCAGAAGGGGGCGGGGCCACGTTAGACTGAGATTCTGGGTCTGACGACAGATCCATGTATGAAGCATGTTTGGGTTAAACAGAGACACACACACATATATATACACACATGTACACACACACACATATATACACACACATATATATATATATACACACACACATATATACACAAACACATGTACACAAATACACACACACACATATACACACATGTACACACACACACATATACACACACATATATATACACACACTCATATGTATATATATACACACACATATACTGTATATAAACACACACATGTACACAAATATACACACACATACACACACAGATATATATATATATACACACACACTCACCCACACACACAGTCACACACACTGACACACACACACACTCACCCACACACACTGTCACACTCACACACACACTCACCCACACACACACTCACACACACACACAGTCACACACACTGTCACACTCACACCCACACACACACACACACACACACACACACACTCACACTCACACACACACACACACAGTCTCACACACTGTCACACTCACACACACACACACACAGTCTCACACACACACACCCACACACTCACACACTGTCACACTCACACACACACACACAGTCTCACACACACACACACACACAGTCACACACACAGTCTCACACACTGTCACACTCACACACACACACACAGTCTCACACACACACACCCACACACTCACACAGTCTCACACACTGTCACACTCACACACACACACACAGTCTCACACACACACACACACACAGTCACACACACAGTCTCACACACACACACACACACACACACACACACACACACACACACACACACACACACAGTCTCACACACACACTCCCCCCTCACCAGCGTCTCCATGTAACAAATGGGGCAGTGGCGGACACTGCATTGGCCCAGTACTGACAGTATCTATGGAGCATGAAGCAAGAGCAGATCCAGGCCACAGACACACACAACACATACACACACACATACTGTATACACACACACACAACACACACACATATATATACACGGACACACACATAAATATACACACACACACTGCATACACAGACGCACACAGACACACACACACACACATACTGTATACAAACACACACACACACACACATACTGTGTACAAACACACACACATACTATATACACACACACAAATATATACACGGACACACTCACACACACACACACATACACGTTTTTGTTACCTGGTGGGTCCCTTTGACAGGGCCGTTCAGAATGGGACCCATAGACATAATCTTTTTTTACCAAGACTTTAAGTAATACAAAACAGTCAATAGAAACCAAACAACTATTTTAAAGGAATTTTATTTTAGATTTTTTTTTCAAATTGCAGTGATTCTATTTTTGACATAGAATTTAATGCCACTCCATGTCCGATGTCTAAGGTCATCTGGTGAGGCATTAATGCAGGCCAGGCCAGGCCAGGCCAGGCAGTGAGACTTCCCAGGGACCTTTCCAGTCTGTATGAAAGGTGTCATGGTCTTCTCCACAGCCTTCACCTCAGATGCAGACCATGGCTTTCTCTAACGTTCTAGGGAGAGAAATAAAAATATATTAGCGATATACACTCCCAGGGTGAGGACCAAGCAGCCTGGCTGTAATCCCCCACCTGGTACACTTACCAGAAGGGGCACTGCCACTACCATGGGGTGCATCTGGATGAATGGTTGAAGGTTCTCCGCTTGAAGTTTCTTTTAGCCCGTCCGTTTGTGAGAGGATCTCTACTGCTCTCCCTGTCGCACAGAAAATAAAAATACAAGTGGCCTTTAGGGGAAAAAAATCATACATATTTTAATAATATCAAGAATTACCTTCAGGCTCAATTTGTATCTGGTCGAGGCTCTTTCCTTCGAATTCCGTCACTCTTCCCTGCTCCATGGCCATCAACACTTTGCTGATTTTGGCCAGCTCCAGTGTCCCCTCTGGTAGTCTGTAATATTGCCTGTGGATGCGAATGTCATGGCCGAGGAAGTTGGCAAGTATGTCCATCTCATTCTCTTTCATATTGAGAACTGTAGACATAGTAGCTATGTGCTTTCTAAGTTTGGTTGAGGATAGCATCTCTGGATGCACCGCACCACATTCTTTGGCTACCTGGCGTAGGGAGTCTGATCCCCTGATGTGGGTGTCTGCGCCCGGGGGGGAAAAGAAGTATGGGTTATGGTCAGAGATGGAACAGGCCCTTCTGTTCTCCACCAGCACCTCCATCCAAGCAATCATTTCAGGAGTCAAAAGAACCGGCACTTTCCGACTTCTTTTCCCTTTAATTTCAATGCGTTGAAAATGCTGACACAGCTTTTTCTCAAGTTGGGACAGTCCCAGAGCAATGTCAGAATGGATCCCAGTCTTACTTCTTAAGGTAAAGGCTGTCAGTGGCATCTTTGAAACCTCACCTTCCCTTCTTCGATTGAAAATGATGACCTCACAAAGAGTCAAAACTGCCAGTTTAGACCAATGCTTAGACGTTGGCTCACTTATTAGGGTTTGCACATATTCAGGTCGACATACCTCAATATGTGCATGCATGGCTCTAACGTCCTCAGTCAGAGGGAGCAGGTCCGGAGTGTTCCACTTGGCTTGCCGGAGGGTCTGTAGGGCAGCAGAAGAAACACAGACGTCCCACCTCTTCTCAAAAAGCAGCCGGCTTCGTTGGAGGTTTTTAATAAATAGTTCATCAACACAATGCTCCATTTTTGAGTCACATTCAAGAATATCTGCTAGCTTTCTGAGGCTATGGCCGAGTTTGAGGGCCAAGGATGGAGTCTTGTATTGATTTGTTTCCTCATCATATCCAGCCACAGACCTGACTGCATCAATCACATGGTTAAAGTTGGAAGGAATAAAGAAATCCTTAATTGTTTTCAGTTTCCCTGCGGTTTTTGCTTCGTTAATTAACCTACCGACTTCTCTCATTTTCTGCCTAATGTAATCATGCTTTGTCTTATCATGCCCGTGTTTTAAGTACAGGTGCTCTCCGAGTCTCAGAATCCCCTTTTCTGCTTTGACAACACCCGTGACCTCATCCTGATGCATTGCCCAAATTAAAGACCACAGCTTTTTGCTGATGCCCTCCGGTACAGGCTGGGCTAGGGAGCAGAGGGACTGGACCCTACTTCTACCTGGTTTAGCCTGGGGCATCTTTCTGTGAAAGCCGGCACCTGGCCACATGCCTCCACAGCGACTTTTCGCTTAAGCAATGCCCCACAGTCTATACAGTGCAAAAACTCACTGGATTTAACTGGGGAATTTGGCTGTTTAGCTGGGACTAAAGTTCCAATGCCGGCCTTTAAAACCTCAAAATTGTGCTCACGGTTTCCACTATTCCTGATCAAATCAAACTGAAGTTTACGTGCTTTAGATTTCACAGGTAGAGCCAATGCTCTGGCTACGTCACTTTCATTTCCATGTTTTCTAGTCAAATGACGGGACATTTTGTGGCAGGACATTGAACAGTAGAGGCAGAAGTGTCTCTTGCTGTAAACTCGCCCCCCATTTTTCTTCTTTTGCAGCTGCATGATAACAATCTTATTTGCCTTTGGTTCGTCACTTTCCGAGTCTTGAAGAAAAGTGTTTTTGATTTTTCTTTTTCCATACTTTTTTACAGGTTTCTTCTTGACAGTTAAATCGTCAGAATCTGAGTCGACTTCATCAATTAGGGACTCTTGACTAAGCTGCACAAACAACAAATAATTTGTAATCATTCTATATAACAATTTGAAGTCATGACTTGTAGTCAGCACTTACCAGTGGTTTGTAAGCGTGCGCTTCAGTGTGCTTCTCTGTGATTGTCTGCAGCCTAATGAACCACACACTTGCACCTTTTTCTAGCCTGACACCTGATTTCCTCTGTTGTGCTGCTCCATGATTGGCTCCAGCCTCTGTTGTGCTGCTCCATGATTGGCTCCAGCCTCTGTTGTGCTGCTCCATGATTGGTTCCAGCCTCTGTTGTGCTGCTCCATGATTGGCTCCAGCCTCTGTTGTGCTGCTCCATGATTGGCTCCAGCCTCTGTTGTGCTGCTCCATGATTGGCTCCAGCCTCTGTTGTGCTGCTCCATGATTGGCTCCAGCCTGCTGGACTGAAATTGCCCCAGTGTGCCCCTCCCTGATATCCCGCAACCCACCACCAGGGTTCCGACACATAACACACTTTTTTCAGGAAAGTAAACCTCCAGGGGTCCTTTCCATATTTTTACAGAGACTGCATAAGGACCGTTAGAAAAGCATTACCCATTGATTATTAAGCTTGGACCAGTGGGGTCCGGTGTTCGGGCCCCACCACGTAAAACCAGTCCCCATGACGTGAGTGGAATCTCAGTGGAATCTCAGGTTATGGACTAGCTAGCACTTTCTTAAAGGTAGCTCTCCAATGGAAACAGGTTGGAGCTAGCACTTTCTTAAAGGTAGCTCTCCAATGGAAACAGGTTGGAGCTAGCACTTTCTTAAAGGTAGCTCTCCAATGGAAACAGGTTGGAGCTAGCACTTTCTTAAAGGTAGCTCTCCAATGGAAACAGGTTGGAGCTAGGACTTTCTTAAAGGTAGCTCTCCAATGGAAACAGGTTGGAGCTAGCACTTTCTTAAAGGTAGCTCTCCAATGGAAACAGGTTGGAGCTAGGACTTTCTTAAAGGTAGCTCTCCAATGGAAACAGGTTGGAGCTAGGACTTTCTTAAAGGTAGCTCTCCAATGGAAACAGGTTGGAGCTAGGACTTTCTTAAAGGTAGCTCTCCAATGGAAACAGGTTGGAGCTAGGACTTTCTTAAAGGTAGCTCTCCAATGGAAACAGGTTGGAGCTAGCACTTTCTTAAAGGTAGCTCTCCAATAACAACAGTTCAACTCAACACTGTGTAAGGTCACCTTGGCTGGCAGTGACAGGCCTTCGAACCGAGGCTCCTTCAGTCGAGCTTCAGGGTCTGGGGAGAGACCACCTCAGTCTGAGGGAGAGACCACCTCAGTCTGAGAGAGAGACCACCTCAGTCTGAGGGAGAGACCACCTCAGTCTGAGAGAGAGACCACCTCAGTCTGAGAGAGAGAGACCACCTCAGTCTGAGAGAGAGAGACCACCTCAGTCTGAGAGAGAGACCACCTCAGTCTGAGAGAGAGAGACCACCTCAGTCTGAGAGAGAGAGAGACCACCTCAGTCTGAGAGAGAGAGACCACCTCAGTCGAAGAGACCACCTCAGTCTGAGAGAGAGACCACCTCAGTCTGAGAGAGAGACCACCTCAGTCTGAGAGAGAGAGACCACCTCAGTCTGAGAGAGAGAGACCACCTCAGTCTGAGAGAGAGACCACCTCAGTCTGAGAGAGAGACCACCTCAGTCTGAGAGAGAGACCACCTCAGTCTGAGAGAGAGACCACCTCAGTCTGAGGGAGAGACCACCTCAGTCTGAGAGAGAGACCACCTCAGTCTGAGAGAGAGAGACCACCTCAGTCTGAGAGAGAGACCACCTCAGTCTGAGAGAGAGAGAGACCACCTCAGTCTGAGAGAGAGACCACCTCAGTCTGAGAGAGAGACCACCTCAGTCTGAGAGAGAGAACCACTCGACCACCTCAGTCTGAGAGAGAGAGACCACCTCAGTCTGAGAGAGAGAGACCACCTCAGTCTGAGAGAGAGACCACCTCAGTCTGAGAGAGAGACCACCTCAGTCTGAGAGAGAGACCACCTCAGTCTGAGAGAGAGAGAGACCACCTCAGTCTGAGAGAGAGACCACCTCAGTCTGAGAGAGCAGAGAAGACCACCTCAGTCTGAGAGAGAGACCCCTCAGTCTGAGAGAGAGACCACCTCAGTCTGAGAGAGAGACCACCCAGTCTGAGAGAGAGACCACCTCAGTCTGAGAGAGAGACCACCTCAGTCTGAGAGAGACACCTCAGTCTGAGGAGAGACCCAGACCCCCTCAGTCTGAGAGAGAGACCACCTCAGTCTGAGAGAGAGACCCCCTCAGTCTGAGAGAGAGACCACCTCAGTCTGAGAGAGAGACCCCCTCAGTCTGAGAGAGAGACCACCTCAGTCTGAGAGAGACCCCCTCAGTCTGAGAGAGAGAGACCACCTCAGTCTGAGAGAGAGACCCCCTCAGTCTGAGAGAGAGACCACCTCAGTCTGAGAGAGAGACCCCCTCAGTCTGAGAGAGAGACCCCCCTCAGTCTGAGAGAGAGACCACCTCAGTCTGAGAGAGAGACCACCTCAGTCTGAGAGAGACCCCCTCAGTCTGAGAGAGAGACCACCTCAGTCTGAGAGAGACCACCTCAGTCTGAGAGAGAGACCCCCTCAGTCTGAGAGAGAGACCCCCTCAGTCTGAGAGAGACCACCTCAGTCTGAGAGAGAGACCACCTCAGTCTGAGAGAGAGACCACCTCAGTCTGAGAGAGAGACCACCTCAGTCTGAGAGAGAGACCCCCTCAGTCTGAGAGAGACCACCTCAGTCTGAGAGAGAGACCACCTCAGTCTGAGAGAGACCACCTCAGTCTGAGAGAGAGACCCCCTCAGTCTGAGAGAGAGACCACCTCAGTCTGAGAGAGACCACCTCAGTCTGAGAGAGAGACCCCCTCAGTCTGAGAGAGAGACCACCTCAGTCTGAGAGAGAGACCACCTCAGTCTGAGAGAGACCACCTCAGTCTGAGAGAGAGACCACCTCAGTCTGAGAGAGAGACCACCTCAGTCTGAGAGAGAGACCCCCTCAGTCTGAGAGAGAGACCACCTCAGTCTGAGAGAGAGACCACCTCAGTCTGAGAGAGAGACCACCTCAGTCTGAGAGAGAGACCCCCTCAGTCTGAGAGAGAGACCACCTCAGTCTGAGAGAGAGACCCCTCAGTCTGAGAGAGAGAGACCACCTCAGTCTGAGAGAGAGAGACCACCTCAGTCTGAGAGAGAGACCACCTCAGTCTGAGAGAGAGATCCACCTCAGTCTGAGAGAGAGACCCCCTCAGTCTGAGAGAGAGACCACCTCAGTCTGAGAGAGAGGACCCCCTCAGTCTGATAGAGAGACCACCTCAGTCTGAGAGAGACCACCTCAGTCTGAGTGAGAGACCCCCTCAGTCTGAGAGAGAGACCACCTCAGTCTGAGAGAGAGACCCCCTCAGTCTGAGAGAGAGACCACCTCAGTCTGAGAGAGAGACCACCTCAGTCTGAGAGAGAGAGACCACCTCAGTCTGAGAGAGAGACCCCCTCAGTCTGAGAGAGAGACCACCTCAGTCTGAGAGAGAGACCCCCTCAGTCTGAGAGAGAGACCCCCTCAGTCTGAGAGAGAGACCACCTCAGTCTGAGAGAGAGACCACCTCAGTCTGAGAGAGAGACCACCTCAGTCTGAGAGAGAGACCACCTCAGTCTGAGAGAGAGACCCCCTCAGTCTGAGAGAGAGACCCCCTCAGTCTGAGAGAGAGACCACCTCAGTCTGAGAGAGAGACCACCTCAGTCTGAGAGAGAGACCACCTCAGTCTGAGAGAGGACCCCTCAGTCTGAGAGAGAGACCACCTCAGTCTGAGAGAGAGACCACCTCAGTCTGAGAGAGAGACCACCTCAGTCTGAGAGAGAGACCACCTCAGTCTGAGAGAGAGACCACCTCAGTCTGAGAGAGACCACCTCAGTCTGAGAGAGAGACCCCTCAGTCTGAGAGAGAGACCACCTCAGTCTGAGAGAGACCACCTCAGTCTGAGAGAGACCACCTCAGTCTGAGAGAGAGACCACCTCAGTCTGAGAGAGAGACCACCCTGAGGACCACTCAGTCTGAGAGAGACCACCTCAGTCTGAGAGAGAGACCACCTCAGTCTGAGAGAGAGAGACCACCTCAGTCTGAGAGAGAGACCACCTCAGTCTGAGAGAGAGACCACCTCAGTCTGAGAGAGAGACCACCTCAGTCTGAGAGAGAGACCACCTCAGTCTGAGAGAGAGACCACCTCAGTCTGAGAGAGAGACCACCTCAGTCTGAGAGAGAGAGACCACCTCAGTCTGAGAGAGAGACCACCTCAGTCTGAGAGAGAGAGACCACCTCAGTCTGAGAGAGAGACCACCTCAGTCTGAGAGAGAGACCACCTCAGTCTGAGAGAGAGACCACCTCAGTCTGAGAGAGAGAGACCACCTCAGTCTGAGAGAGAGACCACCTCAGTCTGAGAGAGAGACCACCTCAGTCTGAGAGAGAGAGACCACCTCAGTCTGAGAGAGAGAGACCACCTCAGTCTGAGAGAGAGAGAGACCACCTCAGTCTGAGGCTCCTCAGTTACAGTTACATAGTTGAGGTTTGTCTATGATGGAAATTACAGGGCTGCCTCGTCTTTATAAGGGGGAGAACTTCTTTGCCACACTGTATTCTATCCGTAATTAAATAAAGTTGCAGACATCAAGTATCGCAAGTAGTACAAGTATCGCAGCGTTGCCACAAACCATAGACTGTAGATGTTAAAGACGTCGTCACGTTTATCTCCACCGTTCAAACTAATGTGACATCACTTTAGCCTTCTGTGGCTTTTTCAAAATGGCCGCAGGGCTCAAAAATGTGAAAAAACACATTAGCCCATTCATTGACGAGTGCATTCTAAAGTCCACAGCGGCTAAACTAGACTGGTCCAAAAACATACACTCCCTTCTGACAGCATCTGGAACCAAAAGGACCAAGAACCACTTTTGGACCAAGAGCCACTTTTGGACCAAGAACCACTTTTGGACCAAGAACCACTTTTGGACCAAGAACCACTTTTGGACCAAGAACCACTTTTGGACCAAGAACCACTTTTGGACCAAGAACCACTTTTGGACCAAGAACCACTTTTGAACCAAGAGCCACTTTTGGACCAAGAACCACTTTTGGACCAAGAGCCACTTTTGGACCAAGAACCACTTTTGGACCAAGAACCACTTTTGGACCAAGAACCACTTTTGGACCAAGAACCACTTTTGGACCAAGAACCACTTTTGGACCAAGAGCCACTTTTGGACCAAGAACCACTTTAGGACCAAGAACCACTTTAGGACCAAGAACCACTTTAGGACCAAGAGCCACTTTTGGACCAAGAACCACTTTTGGACCAAGAACCACTTTTGGACCAAGAACCACTTTTGGACCAAGAACCACTTTAGGACCAAGAACCACTTTAGGACCAAGAACCACTTTAGGACCAAGAGCCACTTTTGGACCAAGAACCACTTTAGGACCAAGAACCACTTTAGGACCAAGAGCCACTTTTGGACCAAGAACCACTTTTGGACCAAGAACCACTTTAGGACCAAGAACCACTTTAGGACCAAGAGCCACTTTTGGACCAAGAACCACTTTAGGACCAAGAACCACTTTAGGACCAAGAGCCACTTTTGGACCAAGAACCACTTTTGGACCAAGAACCACTTTTGAACCAACAACCACTTGAGGACCAAGACCCACTTTTAGACCAAGACCCACTTTTGGACCAAGAACCACTTTTGGACCAAGACCCACTTTTGGACCAAGAGCCACTTTTGGACCAAGAGCCACTTTTGGACCAAGAACCACTTTTGGACCAAGAACCACTTTTGGACCAAGAGCCACTTTTGGACCAAGAACCACTTTTGGACCAAGAACCACTTTTGGACCAAGAACCACTTTTGGACCAAGAGCCACTTTTGGACCAAGAGCCACTTTTGGACCAAGAACCACTTTTGGACCAAGAACTTCTTTTGGACCAAGAGCCACTTTTGGACCAAGAACCACTTTTGGACCAAGAACCAGTTTTGGACCAAGAGCCACTTTTGGACCAAGAACCACTTTAGGACCAAGAACCACTTTAGGACCAAGAGCCACTTTTGGACCAAGAACCACTTTTGGACCAAGAACCACTTTTGAACCAACAACCACTTGAGGACCAAGACCCACTTTTGGACCAAGACCCACTTTTGGACCAAGAACCACTTTTGGACCAAGACCCACTTTTGGACCAAGAGCCACTTTTGAACCAAGAGCCACTTTTGGACCAAGAGCCACTTTTGGACCAAGAACCACTTTTGGACCAAGAGCCACTTTTGGACCAAGAGCCACTTTTGGACCAAGAACCACTTTTGGACCAAGAACCACTTTTGGACCAAGAGCCACTTTTGGACCAAGAACCACTTTTGGACCAAGAGCCACTTTTGGACCAAGAACCACTTTAGGACCAAGAACCACTTTAGGACCAAGAACCATTTTTGGACCAAGAACCACTTTAGGACCAAGAGCCACTTTTGGACCAAGAGCCACTTTTGGACCAAGAACCACTTTAGGACCAAGAACCACTTTTAGACCAAGAACCACTTTTGGACCAAGAGCCAGAGGAAAGAAGACGTCATACAAAAGCATTGGGTAATTCTTCTTCCGGGTACACCCCCCCTCCTGGTGAGATTGCAGACGAGCTCTGAATGTGAAAGTTGTGTTTCTTTGTGAATAATCCTTGAGCTGCTGCCTCAGACTGAGCTTTGGCTTTTATGAATGAAACGATTCTGAATCACACACTTTCAGTCACGACACGTCCAGGTGAGTCACACACACAGAGACACACACACAGAGACACACAGACACACACACACAGACAGATACACACACACACACACAGACACACACACACACACACAGAGACACACACAGAGACACACACACACACAGACAGATTCACACACACACACACACACACACACACAGAGACACACAGAGACACACACACACACACACACACACACAGAGACACACACACACACAGACAGATACACACACACACACAGAGACACACAGAGACACACACACACACACAGAGAGAGTGTTTGGTCGGAGGCTTTGATGGTCCAGTGTGTTCAGTCATCACGGAGGGAATGGGAAATATACAACTGTACATATCTGTGCTGACCCTGGTCCTGGTCCTGGTCCTGGTCCTGGTTCTGGTCCTGGTCCTGGTCTTGGTTCTGGTCCTGGTCCTGGTCCTCTCTCCCCTCTGTGTCTGACAAACCACACTTTTGTTCTTTCTCTATGAAGGTCACAGCTGTCAATCACTCTACATCAGTGCTGTCCTGCCCTCTGATTGGACCAGGCCTGTTCAAACCCCGCCTCCTTTATTCCCCATTGAGAAAAGCAGCAACAGAGATACTTATGGTTACTGCTTTGATTCACATCTACCCCCACATCTGCCCCCACATCTGCATCTGCCTCCACATCTGCCCCACATCTGCCTCCACATCTGCCCCCACATCTGCATCTGCCCCCACATCTGCCTCCACATCTGCCTCCACATCTGCCCCCACATCTGCCTCCACATCTGCCCCCACATCTGCCTCCACATCTGCCCCCACATCTGCCTCCACATCTGCCCCCACATCTGCCTCCACATCTGCCCCCACATCTGCCTCCACATCTGCCCCCTCATCTGCCCCCACATCTGCCCCCTCATCTGCCCCCACATCTGCCCCCACATCTGCCCCCACAGACTAAAATATTAGGAACAACAGAAGCTAAAAAGACATGAAAGTTATTGTTATTTTATTCTTGTCATAGTAACTAACAGGAAGTCACAAACTAGGAATCTGCACTGGCCTCCTGCTGGGACTCTGAGGAGCACAGGGACTGGACTCCTGCTGGGACTCTGAGGAGCACAGGGACTGGCCTCCTGCTGGGACTCTGAGGAGCACAGGGACCAGCCTCCTGCTGGGACTCTGAGGAGCACAGGGACCAGCCTCCTGCTGGGACTCTGGGGAGCACAGGGACTGGACTCCTGCTGGGACTCTGAGGAGCACAGGGACTGGACTCCTGCTGGGACTCTGAGGAGCACAGGGACTGGCCTCCTGCTGGGACTCTGAGGAGCACAGGGACTGGCCTCCTGCTGGGACTCTGAGGAGCACAGGGACCAGCCTCCTGCTGGGACTCTGGGGAGCACAGGGACTGGACTCCTGCTGGGACTCTGAGGAGCACAGGGACTGGACTCCTGCTGGGACTCTGAGGAGCACAAGGACTAGCCTCCTGCTGGGACTCTGAGGAGCACAGGGACTGGTCTCCTGCTGGGACTCTGAGGAGCACAAGGACTAGCCTCCTGCTGGGACTCTGAGGAGCACAGGGACTGGCCTCCTGCTGGGACTCTGAGGAGCACAAGGACTGGCCTCCTGCTGGGACTCTGAGGAGCACAAGGACTGGCCTCCTGCTGGGACTCTGAGGAGCACAGGGACTGGCCTCCTGCTGGGACTCTGAGGAGCACAGGGACTGGCCTCCTGCTGGGACTCTGAGGAGCACAGGGACTGGCCTCCTGCTGGGACTCTGAGGAGCACAGGGACTGGCCTCCTGCTGGGACTCTGAGGAGCACAAGGACTAGCCTCCTGCTGGGACTCTGAGGAGCACAGGGACTGGCCTCCTGCTGGGACTCTGAGGAGCACAGGGACTGGCCTCCTGCTGGGACTCTGAGGAGCACAGGGACTGCCTCCTGCTGGGACTCTGAGGAGCACAGGGTCTGGCCTCCTGCTGGGACTCTGAGGAGCACAGGGACTGGCCTCCTGCTGGGACTCTGAGGGGCACAGGGACTGGCCTCCTGCTGGGACTCTGAGGAGCACAGGGACTGGCCCCCTGCTGGGACTCTGAGGAGCACAGGGACTGGCCTCCTGCTGGGACTCTGAGGAGCACAGGGACTGGCCTCCTGCTGGGACTCTGAGGAGCACAGGGACTGGCCTCCTGCTGGGACTCTGAGGAGCACAGGGACTGGACTCCTGCTGGGACTTTGAGGAGCACAGGGACTGGACTCCTGCTGGGACTCTGAGGAGCACAGGGACTGGCCTCCTGCTGGGACTCTGAGGAGCACAGGGACTGGACTCCTGCTGGGACTCTGAGGAGCACAGGGACTGGCCTCCTGCTGGGACTCTGAGGAGCACAGGGACTGGACTCCTGCTGGGACTCTGAGGAGCACAAGGACTAGCCTCCTGCTGGGACTCTGAGGAGCACAGGGACTGGCCTCCTGCTGGGACTCTGAGGAGCACAGGGACTAGCCTCCTGCTGGGACTCTGAGGAGCACAGGGACTGGCCTCCTGCTGGGACTCTGAGGAGCACAAGGACTGGTCTCCTGCTGGGACTCTGAGGAGCACAGGGACTGGCCTCCTGCTGGGACTCTGAGGAGCACAGGGACTGGCCTCCTGCTGGGACTCTGAGGAGCACAGGGACTGGCCTCCTGCTGGGACTCTGAGGAGCACAGGGACTGGCCTCCTGCTGGGACTCTGAGGAGCACAGGGACTGGACTCCTGCTGGGACTCTGAGGAGCACAGGGACTGGACTCCTGCTGGGACTCTGAGGAGCACAGGGACTGGACTCCTGCTGGACCATATGTTTATTTCCACACATTGTACAAACAGATACGAAGCCTTCACATCAATACATCCTCAGAAAATCCATAAAATCCATAAAATCCATAAAATCCTCTCTTGTTTTGCCTGAACTCTGCATTTCTCCTCATTTAGGTCCTGGTCTTTACAGTGTCTGTTCCTGGTCTCTAGAGTCTCTGGTCCTGGTCTTTACAGTCTCTGGTCCTGGTCTCTACAGTCTCTGGTCCTGGTCTCTAGAGTCTCTGGTCCTGGTCTCTAGAGTCTCTGGTCCTGGTCTCTAGAGTCTCTGGTCCTGGTCTTTACAGTCTCTGGTCCTGGTCTCTACAGTCTCTGGTCCTGGTCTCTAGAGTCTCTGGTCCTGGTCTCTAGAGTCTCTGGTCCTGGTCTCTAGAGTCTCTGGTCCTGGTCTCTAGAGTCTCTGGTCCTGGTCTCTAGAGTCTCTGGTGCTGGTCTCTAGAGTCTCTGGTGCTGGTCTCTAGAGTCTCTGGTGCTGGTCTCTAGAGTCTCTGGTGCTGGTCTCTAGAGTCTCTGGTCCTGGTCTCTAGAGTCTCTGGTCCTGGTCTCTAGAGTCTCTGGTCCTGGTTTCTAGAGTCTCTGGTGCTGGTCTCTAGAGTCTCTGTCCTGGTCTCTAGAGTCTCTGGTGCTGGTCTCTACAGTCTCTGGTGCTGGTCTCTAGAGTCTCTGGTCCTGGTCTCTACAGTCTCTGGTCCTGGTCTCTAGAGTCTCTGGTCCTGGTCTCTAGAGTCTCTGGTGCTGGTCTTTAGAGTCTCTGGTCCTGGTCTTTACAGTCTCTGGTCCTGGTCTCTAGAGTCTCTGGTGCTGGTCTCTACAGTCTCTGGTGCTGGTCTCTAGAGTCTCTGGTCCTGGTCTCTAGAGTCTCTGGTGCTGGTCTCTAGAGTCTCTGGTCCTGGTCTCTACAGTCTCTGGTCCTGGTCTCTAGAGTCTCTGGTCCTGGTCTCTAGAGTCTCTGGTGCTGGTCTCTAGAGTCTCTGGTCCTGGTCTCTACAGTCTCTGGTCCTGGTCTCTACAGTCTCTGGTCCTGGTCTCTAGAGTCTCTGGTCCTGGTCTCTAGAGTCTCTGGTGCTGGTCTCTAGAGTCTCTGGTGCTGGTCTCTACAGTCTCTGGTCCTGGTCTCTAGAGTCTCTGGTGCTGGTCTCTAGAGTCTCTGGTCCTGGTCTCTAGAGTCTCTGGTCCTGGTCTCTAGAGTCTCTGGTGCTGGTCTCTAGAGTCTCTGGTCCTGGTCTCTAGAGTCTCTGGTCCTGGTCTCTAGAGTCTCTGGTGCTGGTCTCTACAGTCTCTGGTGCTGGTCTCTAGAGTCTCTGGTCCTGGTCTCTAGAGTCTCTGGTGCTGGTCTCTAGAGTCTCTGGTCCTGGTCTCTACAGTCTCTGGTCCTGGTCTCTAGAGTCTCTGGTCCTGGTCTCTAGAGTCTCTGGTGCTGGTCTCTAGAGTCTCTGGTGCTGGTCTCTAGAGTCTCTGGTCCTGGTCTCTACAGTCTCTGGTGCTGGTCTCTACAGTCTCTGGTGCTGGTCTCTAGAGTCTCTGGTGCTGGTCTCTAGAGTCTCTGGTGCTGGTCTCTAGAGTCTCTGGTCCTGGTCTCTAGAGTCTCTGGTCCTGGTCTCTAGAGTCTCTGGTCCTGGTCTCTAGAGTCTCTGGTCCTGGTCTCTAGAGTCTCTGGTGCTGGTCTCTAGAGTCTCTGGTCCTGGTCTCTAGAGTCTCTGGTCCTGGTATGAAACGGTCTGTGGTGCTGATCGTGTGAAAGCTCAGTTCCGTCGCCCCCTGCAGGACACAGGCCGCCACTGCAGCCCCAGACTCTGCCTGGTAACACTTCGCTGACTGCTCTTATTGATGACACGCGTCTCAAATGAACATATGTCTCTGTAATGGGTCACGTGATCCGCGGCTCAGGCACTAAATGTAAATGTGAGCCACTGCAGCATCGGCACAAAACGTTAGCAAAGATATTGGCTTTTTATGTTTCTGCCACGCTCCATGTTTCAGCCCAGACTCTGGAGAATGGACCCAGGCACTGAGAGAGAAATAAACATAGAAATAAACTGAATATAACACATGTTTTTATACATATGGGTCTAAGGACAGAGACTCCAGTAAAAATGTCAAAATATATTTATATGTAAAAAATGTAAAAACGTATTCACTCTCGATGTGAAGAGGAGGCTCTGCAGGTCTTTCTTCCTGCTGCTGTCAGACTGTACAACGAACAGTGAGGACCAACAAACAGCTGACCTCACATGTCTCTGTGCAGTAGTTTAAACTCAGAACGTGCAATACAGATCCACATATTGCACATGTGCTCCTCATCCTGTTCTGTAACCGCTGATGCAGCACTGACATTTGCCCACGAATACAGGACCTGATGGGGGAAACAAACCCTTGACCTCCGGGTTCAAAGGTCAGTGCTCTACCAACTGAGCCACTGTCCCCCAACAAGACCCACTCATGTCTGCTGTCGTGTCCTTGGGCAAGACACTGAACCCCTCTTTGCCCGAAGCCCCCGCTGAAAGACCGAGGCTGAATGAATGTTTGTGTATATGTTATAGCAGATTAGCATCGCAGACTTTAGCGATAGCATTTAGGGCGAAACATAAATAGATTGAATTAAAGGAGACACAACACTTTACTCTAATATACTTTATTGTTGATCTAAGACTGAGATATAATCGTGTTCTTCTAGTTTGGTTTCATTTTAAAAACATTGCATTAAAAATGAGCAGGTTTTATTTACACAGCAGCAGAAGCAGAAGAGAACACATCACCCCTGGACCCAGAGAACACATCACCCCTGGACTCAGAGAACACATCACCCCTGGGCTGAGAGAACACATCACCCCTGGGCTGAGAGAACACATCACCCCTGGACTCAGAGAACACATCACCCCTGGGCCCAGAGAACACATCACCCCTGGGCCCAGAGAACACATCACCCCTGGACCCAGAGAACACATCACCCCTGGGCCCAGAGAACACATCACCCCTGGGCCCAGAGAACACATCACCCCTGGGCCCAGAGAACACATCATCCCTGGACCCAGAGAACACATCACCCCTGGGCCCAGAGAACACATCACCCCTGGACCCAGAGAACACATCACCCCTGGGCCCAGAGAACACATCACCCCTGGGCTGAGAGAACACATCACCCCTGGACCCAGAGAGCACATCACCCCTGGACCCAGAGAACACATCACCCCTGGACCCAGAGAACACATCACCCCTGGACCCAGAGAACACATCACCCCTGGACCCAGAGAACACATCACCCCTGGGCTGAGAGAACACATCACCCCTGGACCCAGAGAACACATCACCCCTGGACCCGGAGAACACATCACCCCTGGGCCCAGAGAACACATCACCCCTGGGCCCAGAGAACACATCACCCCTGGGCCCAGAGAACACATCACCCCTGGGCTGAGAGAACACATCACCCCTGGGCCCAGAGAACACATCACCCCTGGGCCCAGAGAACACATCACCCCTGGACCCAGAGAACACATCACCCCTGGGCCCAGAGAACACATCACCCCTGGACCCAGAGAACACATCACCCCTGGGCCCAGAGAACACATCACCCCTGGGCCCAGAGAACACATCACCCCTGGACCCAGAGAACACATCACCCCTGGGCCCAGAGAACACATCACCCCTGGGCCCAGAGAACACATCACCCGTGGGCTGAGAGAACACATCACCCCTGGGCCCAGAGAACACATCACCCCTGGGCCCAGAGAACACATCACCCCTGGGCCCAGAGAACACATCACCCCTGGGCCCAGAGAACACATCACCCCTGGACCCAGAGAACACATCACCCCTGGACCCAGAGAACACATCACCCGTGGGCTGAGAGAACACATCACCCCTGGACCCAGAGAACACATCACCCCTGGGCTGAGAGAACACATCACCCCTGGGCTGAGAGAACACATCACCCCTGGGCCCAGAGAACACATCACCCCTGGACCCGGAGAACACATCACCCCTGGGCCCAGAGAACACATCACCCCTGGGCCCAGAGAGCACATCACCCCTGGACCCAGAGAACACATCACCCCTGGACCCAGAGAACACATCACCCGTGGGCTGAGAGAACACATCACCCCTGGACCCAGAGAACACATCACCCCTGGGCTGAGAGAACACATCACCCCTGGGCTGAGAGAACACATCACCCCTGGGCCCAGAGAACACATCACCCCTGGACCCGGAGAACACATCACCCCTGGGCCCAGAGAACACATCACCCCTGGACCCAGAGAACACATCACCCCTGGACTCTGCAGACTTACAGTAACAAACGGGGAGTTTCCACGGGTCTAGAGCAGGCGTCAAAGGCAAATGTTGTTTTAAGGTCATCAAAGTAAACTAAACTCTTATCTCTATTGTTAATATGTTTTTCTTTATCAAACAACAGGACAAATCAACCCATCAAATAAAGAAGCTGGAACCTAGGAGCTGAGTCTGGGAAGGACCATCAGGAGAAGACCCAGGGGAAGACCCAGGGGAGGACCCAGGACCAAGGCCACACTGAGGCCTTGGTCCTGGGTGTCTGTCTGCTGACCTCAACAACCATTAATGAGGAAGAACTGAGAGGGAGGGATGCTATGCCTTCTGCCATATAAACCCACAGGGACTCTGAGGAGCACAGGGACTGGCCTCCTGCTGGGACTCTGAGGAGCACAGGGACTGGCCTCCTGCTGGTCCCAGAGTCAGGACTGAACATGAGGAGGCAGCATTTTAAATGTCTTCCTGAAAATGTGAGACAGACTTCTTCTCTGACAGTGTTCCAGGATAAAGCAGTTCTGTTTCGCTGCAGACTGAGGGATTGTATCTTTCTAAAGCTCTGTGATGATGGTTGGAACGCCTGGACTGTTTCTATGACCTGTGCTATACGGATAAACTTCCCTTCTGTGGGTCCCTCATGAGACTTTCCTCTAAGTCTCGTAGATAATGTCTGAGCAGAAAGTCTCTAGGCGTCTGCGGGGGACAGGTCTGTGGTGATGGATCCGTTGGCCTCCGCGGGGGTGGAGGAGGCCGGGGGGTCCTCAGGGGGGTCCGTGGAGCCCGTGTGTCCGCTCTCGGGGGCCTGTGTCTGGGGTAAGTGTGTGGGCAGCGCTGGCTCTTCGTCCAGACGGCTGGAGATGGACCAGTACAGGTGAGCGTCCAGGCGCGCCGCGGCTAACGCTAGCTCATGAGCCGAGGCTGAGGGCGTGTCCACCTGGGGGGGAGAGGGAGGGAGGGGGAGGGGGAGAGAGAGGGAGGGAGGGGGAGGAAGGGGAAGAGGGAGGGAGGGGAGGAAGGGGAAGAGGGAGGGAGGGGGAGAGGGAGGGAGAGGGAGGGAGGGGGAGGGGGAGGGAGAGGGAGGGGGAGGGAGGGGAAGAGGGAGGGAGGGGGAGAGGGAGGGGGAGGGAGAGGGAGGGAGGGGGAGGGGGAGGGAGGGGGAGGGGGAGGGGAGAGGGAGGGGGAGGGAGGGGGAGGGGGAGGGAGAGGGAGGGGGAGGGAGGGGAAGAGGGAGGGAGGGGGAGGGAGGGGGAGGGAGAGGGGGGAGGGGAGGGGGAGGGAGAGGGGGAGGGGAAGAGGGAGGGGGGGGAGAGGGAGGGGGAGGGGAAGAGGGAGGGAGGGGGAGGGAGGGGAAGAGGGAGGGAGGGGGAGGGAGGGAGTGGGGGGGAGAGAGAGGGAGGGAGGGGGAGGGAGGGGGAGAGGGAGAGGGAGGGGGAGGGAGAGGGAGGGAGGGAGTGGGGGAGAGAGAGGGAGAGGGAGGGAGGGGGAGAGGGAGGGAGGGGGAGGGGGAGGGAGAGGGAGGGAGGGGAAGAGGGAGGGAGGGGGAGAGGGAGGGGGAGGGAGGGGGAAGGGGAGGGAGAGGGAGGGAGGGGGAGGGGGAGGGAGAGGGAGGGAGGGGGAGGGGGAGGGAGAGGGAGGGGGAGGGAGGGGAAGAGGGAGGGAGGGGGAGAGGGAGGGGGAGGGAGAGGGAGGGAGGGGGAGGGGGAGGGAGAGGGAGGGAGGGGAAGAGGGAGGGAGGGGGAGAGGGAGGGGGAGGGGAAGAGGGAGGGAGGGGGAGGGAGGGGGGGAGGGAGGGGAAGAGGGAGGGAGGGGGAGGGAGGGAGTGGGGGGGGGAGAGAGAGGGAGGGAGGGGGAGGGAGGGGGAGAGGGAGGGGGAGGGGGAGGGAGAGGAGGGAGTGGGGGAGAGAGAGGGAGAGGGGGGGAGGGGGAGAGGGAGAGGGAGTGAGGGAGGGGGGAGGGGGGGAGGGAGGGGTGGGGGGAGAGAGGAGAGGGAGTGGGGGGGAGAGGGGAGGGAGAGGGAGGGTGGGGGGAGAGAGAGGGAGAGAGGGGGGGGGAGGGAGGGAGGGGGAGGAGGGGGGAGGGGGGAGGGAGGACACTTTATTTAGAATAAGACAATAATATAAGTGTGTGTGTGTGTCTGTGTGTGTGTGTCTGTGTGTGTGTGTCTGTGTGTGTGTGTGTGTGTGTCTGTGTGTGTGTGTCTCTGTGTGTGTCTGTGTGTGTGTGTGTGTGTGTGTGTGTCTCTGTGTGTCTGTGTGTGTGTGTGTGTCTGTGTGTGTGTGTGTGTGTGTCTCTGTGTGTCTGTGTGTGTGTGTCTGTGTGTGTGTGTGTGTGTCTGTGTGTGTGTGTGTGTGTGTGTGTGTGTGTGTGTGTGTGTGTGTGTGTGTGTGTGTGTGTGTGTGTGTGTGTGTGTGTGTGTGTGTACCTCAAACGTGTGGTGGAAGGCGCCGTAGTCGATGTCGAAGAATCCTTCTGCCAAAGACATCATTGGACTGAAGCGATGTCCCCACTGCACCTCCTCAGCCAGGTACGAGCTGCGAGCCTGACATGTCATGCCTGCAGCGAGAGAGACCCGTCAGAGAGAGAGAGACCCGTCAGAGAGAGAGAGACCCGTCAGATAGAGAGAGACCCGTCAGAGAGAGAGAGAGACCCGTCAGAGAGAGAGAGAGACCCGTCAGAGAGAGAGAGAGACCCGTCAGAGAGAGAGAGAGACCCGTCAGAGAGAGAGAGAGAGACCCGTCAGAGAGAGAGAGAGACCCGTCAGAGAGAGAGAGAGACCCGTCAGAGAGAGAGAGAGACCCGTCAGAGAGAGAGAGAGACCCGTCAGAGAGAGAGAGAGACCCGTCAGAGAGAGAGAGACCCGTCAGAGAGAGAGAGAGACCCGTCAGAGAGAGAGAGAGAGACCCGTCAGAGAGAGAGAGACCTGTCAGAGAGAGAGAGAGACCCGTCAGAGAGAGAGAGACCTGTCAGAGAGAGAGACCCGTCAGAGAGAGAGACCCGTCAGAGAGAGAGAGAGACCCGTCAGAGAAAGAGAGACCTGTCAGAGAGAGAGACACAGGCGGCACGGTGGCTGAGTGGTTAGCACTCTCGCTTCTCAGCAAGAAGGTTCTGGGTTCAAATGCCGGTCGGACCAGGGCCTTTCTGAGTGGAGTTTGCATGTTCTCCCCGTGTCTGCGTAGGTTTCCTCCGGGTACTCCGGTTTCCCCTACCACTAAAAATATGTCCAATAGTTCTGGCATGCGCCTCCTGTACTGGCCCCGCTCCCATCTCTGTGTGGAGTGAGAGACAAATGCCCAAAATGAACAATTGTAAACCGCTTTGAGACTCAGATCTGCAGTGAAAAGGCGGTATATAAATAAAAACTTACTTACTTACTTACTTACTTACTTACAGAGAGAGAGAGACCCGTCAGAGAGAGAGAGACCCCATCTCCCATTTCTGTGTGGAGTGAGAGGACAAGTGCCCAAAAAAAAAATAACAATTGTAAACCGCTTTGTGACTCTGGTCTGTGAAAGGCGGTATATAAATAAAGCTTACTTACTTACTTACCCGTCAGAAAGAGAGAGACACATAGAGAGAGAGACCCGTCAGAGAGAGAGAGAGACACACAGAGGGAGAGAGACCTGTCAGAGAGAGAGACACACAGAGGGAGAGAGAGCCGTCAGAGAGAGAGAGACACAGAGGGAGAGAGACCTGTCAGAGAGAGAGAGACACAGAGGGAGAGAGAGCCGTCAGAGAGAGAGAGACACATAGAGAGAGAGACCCGTCAGAGAGAGAGAGAGACACACAGAGGGAGAGAGACCTGTCAGAGAGAGAGAACACAGAGGGAGAGAGAGCCGTCAGAGAGAGAGAGACACAGAGGGAGAGAGACCTGTCAGAGAGAGAGAGACACAGAGGGAGAGAGACCCGTCAGAGAGAGAGAGACACATAGAGAGAGAGACCCGTCAGAGAGAGAGAGAGACACACAGAGGGAGAGAGACCTGTCAGAGAGAGAGACACACAGAGGGAGAGAGAGCCGTCAGAGAGAGAGAGACACAGAGGGAGAGAGACCTGTCAGAGAGAGAGACACACAGAGGGAGAGAGAGCCGTCAGAGAGAGAGAGACACAGAGGGAGAGAGACCTGTCAGAGAGAGAGAGACACAGAGGGAGAGAGAGCCGTCAGAGAGAGAGAGACACAGAGGGAGAGAGACACAGAGGGAGAGAGACCCGTCAGAGAGAGAGAGACACAGAGGGAGAGAGACCCGTCAGAGAGAGAGAGAGACACAGAGGGAGAGAGACCCGTCAGAGAGAGAGAGAGACACAGAGGGAGAGAGACCCGTCAGAGAGCGAGAGACACAGAGGGAGAGAGACCCGTCAGAGAGAGAGAGAGACACAGAGGGAGAGAGACCCGTCAGAGAGAGAGAGAGACACAGAGGGAGAGAGACCCGTCAGAGAGAGAGAGAGACACAGAGGGAGAGAGACCCGTCAGAGAGAGAGAGACACAGAGGGAGAGAGACCTGTCAGATTGAGACACAGCAGAGACCGGTAGAGAAAACCGGAGCACCCAGAGGAAACTAATGCAGACACGGGGAGAACATGCAAACTCAGAAAGACACTGTTCCGACCGGGATTTGAATCCAAGACCTTCTTGCTGAGAAGCGAGTGCTAACCACTCAGCCAACTATTACTATTGATATTACCATAACATAAACGCAAACTAAACCCTTCTGTTCTTGCCATTGTGTGTGTGTCCGTGTGTGTGTGTGTGTGTGTGTGAGTGTGTGTGTGTGTGTGTGTCTGTGTGTGTCTCTGTGTGTGTGTGTGTCTGTGTCTGTGTGTGTGTGTGTGTGTGTGTCTGTATGTGTGTGTGTGTGTCCGTGTGTGTGTGTGTGTGTGTCTGTATGTGTGTGTCCGTGTGTGTGTATGTCTGTGTGTGTGTGTGTGTGTGTGTGTGTGTGTGTGTGTGTGTGTCTGTGTGTGTGTGTGTGTGTGTGTGTGTGTGTGTGTGTGTGTGTGTGTGTGTGTGTGTGTGTGTGTGTGTGTGTGTGTGTGTGTGTCTGTGTGTGTGTCTGTGTCTGTGTGTGTGTGTGTGTGTGTGTGTACTATTAAAGGGATGAGTTTCTGCATTTGGCCCAGAACCAAAAATGAAATCAGTGACAGTGCTGAGGCCTGCAGGATCCAGAGACAAATCATTCTGAGTGCACTGTCTCTACAGCTTCAGTCCTGGGTCTACAGCTTCAGTCCTGGGTCTACAGCTTCAGTCCTGGGTCTACAGCCTCAGTCCTGGGTCTACAGCCTCAGTCCTGGGTCTACAGCCTCAGTCCTGGATCTACAGCCTCAGTCCTGGGTCTACAGCCTCAGTCCTGGGTCTACAGCCTCAGTCCTGGTCTACAGCCTCAGTCCTGGTCTACAGCCTCAGTCCTGGTCTACAGCTTTAGTCCTGGTCTACAGCCTCAGTCCTGGGTCTACAGCCTCAGTCCTGGATCTACAGCCTCAGTCCTGGGTCTACAGCCTCAGTCCTGGGTCTACAGCCTCAGTCCTGGGTCTACAGCCTCAGTCCTGGATCTACAGCCTCAGTCCTGGGTCTGCAGCCTCAGTCCTGGGTCTACAGCCTCAGTCCTGGGTCTACAGCCTCAGTCCTGGGTCTACAGCCTCAGTCCTGGGTCTACAGCCTCAGTCCTGGATCTACAGCCTCAGTCCTGGGTCTACAGCCTCAGTCCTGGATCTACAGCCTCAGTCCTGGGTCTACAGCCTCAGTCCTGGGTCTACAGCCTCAGTCCTGGTCTACAGCCTCAGTCCTGGTCTACAGCCTCAGTCCTGGTCTACAGCCTCAGTCCTGGGTCTACAGCCTCAGTCCTGGATCTACAGCCTCAGTCCTGGGTCTACAGCCTCAGTCCTGGGTCTACAGCCTCAGTCCTGGTCTACAGCCTCAGTCCTGGTCTACAGCCTCAGTCCTGGTCTACAGCTTTAGTCCTGGTCTACAGCCTCAGTCCTGGGTCTACAGCCTCAGTCCTGGATCTACCTGTGGCCTCCACCATCCCCTCGAGGATGACGACCATCTCGAAGTCGTCCTTCTCGAGCTGAGCCTGGGACATGTCCCAGAACGGGGAGTGGGCGTCGATCTCGTGGGAGATGATCAGAGGAGAGACCAGGAAGAGGCGGTCGTCTCCGGTCTCAAAGCCCACACTGATGTCGGTCTGGTCCAGGGGGATGAACTCACCTGGGGGGAGGCAGAGGGGGGAGAGTGGGGGGAGAGAGGGGGAGGGGCAGAGGGGGGGGGCAGAGGGGGAGGGGCAGAGGGGGGGGCAGAGGGGGGAGAGGCAGAGGGGGGGGCAGAGGGGGGAGAGGCAGAGGGGGGAGAGGCAGAGGGGGGGGCAGAGGGGGGGAGAGGCAGAGGGGGAGGGGCAGAGGGGGGAGAGGCAGAGGGGGAGGGGCAGAGGGGGGGGCAGAGGGGGGAGAGGCAGAGGGGGGGGCAGAGGGGGGAGAGGCAGAGGGGGGGGCAGAGGGGGGGGAGAGGCAGAGGGGGGAGAGGCAGAGGGGGGGGCAGAGGGGGGAGAGGCAGAGGGGGAGGGGCAGAGGGGGGAGAGGCAGAGGGGGGAGAGGCAGAGGGGGAGGGGCAGAGGGGGGAGAGGCAGAGGGGGGAGAGGCAGAGGGGGAGAGGCAGAGGGGGGGGCAGAGGGGGGAGAGGCAGAGGGGGAGGGGCAGAGGGGGGAGAGGCAGAGGGGGGAGAGGCAGAGGGGGAGGGGCAGAGGGGGGGGGGCAGAGGGGGTCAGTACTGCTACAGACCTCGATGAGAAAAAAGAGGCGATATGAAGATGTTGACCACAGACTTCCAGTGAAGTAATATAAGTTTAGCAAAGAAAAATGTGTTTGTATCGCCCTCTAGTGGCAAAGGATGGCATTTTAGTTTTATTTTTATTTCATATATATTTTTCTTTGTTATTAATACATAAGAAATATAGAAAGAATATATGTGCAGTGTATGTGCTACTGCTACTGCTACTACTGCTACTGCTGCTACTGCTACTGCTACTTACTACTGCTACTGCTACTGCTGCTACTGCTACTGCTACTACTGCTACTGCTACTGCTGCTACTGCTACTGCTACTACTGCTACTGCTACTGCTGCTGCTGCTACTACTACTACTGCTACTGCTACTGCTGCTACTGCTGCTACTGCTACTGCTACTACTGCTACTGCTGCTACTGCTACTGCTACTACTGCTACTGCTACTGCTGCTACTGCTACTGCTACTACTGCTACTGCTACTGCTGCTGCTGCTACTACTACTACTGCTACTGCTACTGCTGCTACTGCTGCTACTGCTACTGCTACTACTGCTACTGCTACTGCTGCTACTACTACTACTGCTACTGCTACTGCTGCTACTGCTACTGCTGCTACTGCTGCTACTGCTACTACTGCTACTGCTACTACTGCTACTGCTACTGCTGCTACTGCTGCTACTGCTACTACTGCTACTGCTACTACTGCTACTGCTACTACTGCTACTGCTGCTACTGCTACTGCTACTGCTACTACTGCTACTGCTGCTACTGCTACTACTGCTACTGCTACTACTGCTACTGCTACTACTGCTACTGCTGCTACTGCTACTGCTACTGCTACTACTGCTACTGCTACTGCTGCTACTGCTACTACTGCTACTACTGCTACTGCTACTGCTGCTACTGCTACTACTGCTACTGCTACTACTGCTACTGCTACTACTGCTACTGCTACTGCTGCTACTGCTACTACTGCTACTGCTACTGCTGCTACTGCTACTACTGCTACTGCTACTACTGCTACTGCTACTACTGCTACTGCTGCTACTGCTACTGCTGCTACTGCTGCTACTACTACTACTGCTACTGCTACTACTGCTACTGCTACTGCTACTACTGCTACTGCTACTGCTGCTACTACTGCTACTACTGCTGCTACTACTGCTGCTGCTACTGCTACTGCTGCTGCTGCTGCTACTACTGCTGCTGCTGCTACTGCTACTAGTACTACTACTACTACTGCTACTGCTGCTACTGCTACTACTGCTACTGCTACTACTACTGATGCTACTGCTACTGCTACTACTGCTACTGCTACTACTACTAGTACTTCTACTGCTAAACAAAGAAAAACAAAGAAACCCAGGTCCCTCTAGGACCCAGTCGGAGCGGGCCTCACCCTCCTGGGTCTGCTTGCTCTTGATCAGCTTGGCCCTCATGTTGGCCCCCACGATGTGAGAGCTGCGCAGGTCTCCCACTCGGAACATGAGACACAGTTTATCGTCTCGCAGCGAAATCACAGCGTGTTTGGAGAAAACCAACGTCTCTGCTCGTTTGTTCGGCTGCGAGATCTTCACGAACATACAGCCCACCTGCACACAGAAGACAGGGACCTGAGACCTGAGGACTGAGGACTGAGGACTGAGGACTGAGGACTGAGGACTGAGGACCTGAGGACCTGAGACTTGAGACCTGAGACCTGAGGACTGAGGACTGAGGACTGAGGACTGAGGACTGAGGACCTGAGACCTGAGGACCTGAGACCTGAGACCTGAGACCTGAGACCTGAGACCTGAGGACTGAGGACTGAGGACTGAGGACCTGAGACCTGAGGACTGAGGACTGAGGACCTGAGACCTGAGGACTGAGGACTGAGGACCTGAGACCTGAGGACTGAGGACTGAGGACCTGAGACCTGAGACCTGAGGACTGAGGACTGAGGACCTGAGACCTGACTGAGGACTGAGGACTGAGGACCTGAGACCTGAGGACCTGAGACCTGAGACCTGAGACCTGAGGACTGAGGACTGAGACCTGAGACCTGAGGACTGAGGACTGAGGACCTGAAACCTGAGGACTGAGGACTGAGGACCTGAGACCTGAGGACTGAGACCTGAGACCTGAGACCTGAGGACTGAGGACTGAGACCTGAGACCTGAGGACTGAGGACTGAGGACCTGAAACCTGAGGACTGAGGATCTGAAACCTGAGACCTGAGACCTGAGGACCTGAGACCTGAGACCTGAGACCTGAGGACTGAGACCTGAGACCTGAGGACTGAGGACTGAGGACCTGAAACCTGAGGACTGAGGATCTGAAACCTGAGACCTGAGGACCTGAGAAAAGAGACCTGAGACCTGAGGACTGAGACCTGAGGACTGAGGACTGAGGACCTGAAACCTGAGGACTGAGGATCTGAAACTTGAGACCTGAGGACCTGAGACCTGAGACCTGAGACCTGAGGACTGAGACCTGAGGACTGAGACCTGAGGACTGAGGACTGAGGACCTGAGACATTTCCTGTCTGTTTGTCCACTTTCAGGACCTCGTGTTTGTGTGTGTCTGCGTGTGTCAGTGTGTGTGTGTGTGTCAGCGTGTGTCAGTGTGTGTCGCTGTGTGTCAGTGTGTGTCTGTGTGTCAGTGTGTGTCTGTGTGTGTCTGTGTGTCAGCGTGTGTCGGTGTGTGTCAGTGTGTGTCTGTGTGTGTGTGTGTCAGTGTGTGTGTGTGTCAGTGTGTGTGTGTGTGTGTGTGTGTGTCTGTGTGTGTGTGTGTCAGTGTGTGTGTGTGTGTGTGTCTGTGTGTGTGTGTGTCAGTGTGTGTGTGTGTCAGTGTGTGTGTGTGTGTGTGTCAGCGTGTGTCAGTGTGTGTCAGTGTGTCTGTGTGTGTGTGTGTGTGTCTGTGTGTGTGTGTGTGTGTGTGTGTCTGTCTGTCTGTCTGTGTGTGTGTGTGTATAAGTGTCTCTGTGTGTGTCTGTCTGTGTGTGTGTGTGTGTATAAGTGTCTATGTGTATGTGTGTGAGTGTGTGTGTGTGTGTGTGTGTGTGTGTGTGTATGTATGTGTGTGTGTTACATGTGTGTGTGTGCACTTGTTTTCAACTCCTGGTGGGTTCCATAACCTGAGATTCCACTCACGTCATGGGGACTGGTTTTACGTGGTGGGGCCCGAACACCGGACCCCACTGGTCCAAGCTTAATAATCAATGGGTAATGCTTTTCTAACGGTCCTTATGCAGTCTCTGTAAAAATATGGAAAGGACCCCTGGAGGTTTACTTTCCTGAAAAAAGTGTGTTATGTGTCGGAACCCTGGTGGTGGGTTGCGGGATATCAAGGAGGGGCACACTGGGGCAATTTCAGTCCAGCAGGCTGGAGCCAATCATGGAGCAGCACAACAGAGGCTGGAGCCAATCACAGAGCAGCACAACAGAGGAAATCAGGTGTCAGGCTAGAAAAAGGTGCAAGTGTGTGGTTCATTAGGCTGCAGCCAATCACAGAGCAGCACACTGAAGCGCACGCTTACAAACCACTGGTAAGTGCTGACTACAAGTCATGACTTCAAATTGTTATATAGAATGATTACAAATTATTTGTTGTTTGTGCAGCTTAGTCAAGAGTCCCTAATTGATGAAGTCGACTCAGATTCTGACGATTTAACTGTCAAGAAGAAACCTGTAAAAAAGTATGGAAAAAGAAAAATCAAAAACACTTTTCTTCAAGACTCGGAAAGTGACGAACCAAAGGCAAATAAGATTGTTATCATGCAGCTGCAAAAGAAGAAAAATGGGGGGCGAGTTTACAGCAAGAGACACTTCTGCCTCTACTGTTCAATGTCCTGCCACAAAATGTCCCGTCATTTGACTAGAAAACATGGAAATGAAAGTGACGTAGCCAGAGCATTGGCTCTACCTGTGAAATCTAAAGCACGTAAACTTCAGTTTGATTTGATCAGGAATAGTGGAAACCGTGAGCACAATTTTGAGGTTTTAAAGGCCGGCATTGGAACTTTAGTCCCAGCTAAACAGCCAAATTCCCCAGTTAAATCCAGTGAGTTTTTGCACTGTATAGACTGTGGGGCATTGCTTAAGCGAAAGTCGCTGTGGAGGCATGTGGCCAGGTGCCGGCTTTCACAGAAAGATGCCCAGGCTAAACCAGGCTAAACCAGGTAGAAGTAGGGTCCAGTCCCTCTGCTCCCTAGCCCAGCCTGTACCGGAGGGCATCAGCAAAAAGCTGTGGTCTTTAATTTGGGCAATGCATCAGGATGAGGTCACGGGTGTTGTCAAAGCAGAAAAGGGGATTCTGAGACTCGGAGAGCACCTGTACTTAAAACACGGGCATGATAAGACTAAGCATGATTACATTAGGCAGAAAATGAGAGAAGTCGGTAGGTTAATTAACGAAGCAAAAACCGCAGGGAAACTGAAAACAATTAAGGATTTCTTTATTCCTTCCAACTTTAACCATGTGATTGATGCAGTCAGGTCTGTGGCTGGATATGATGAGGAAACAAATCAATACAAGACTCCATCCTTGGCCCTCAAACTCGGCCATAGCCTCAGAAAGCTAGCAGATATTCTTGAATGTGACTCAAAAATGGAGCATTGTGTTGATGAACTATTTATTAAAAACCTCCAACGAAGCCGGCTGCTTTTTGAGAAGAGGTGGGACGTCTGTGTTTCTTCTGCTGCCCTACAGACCCTCCGGCAAGCCAAGTGGAACACTCCGGACCTGCTCCCTCTGACTGAGGACGTTAGAGCCATGCATGCACATATTGAGGTATGTCGACCTGAATATGTGCAAACCCTAATAAGTGAGCCAACGTCTAAGCATTGGTCTAAACTGGCAGTTTTGACTCTTTGTGAGGTCATTATTTTCAATCGAAGAAGGGAAGGTGAGGTTTCAAAGATGCCACTGACAGCCTTTACCTTAAGAAGTAAGACTGGGATCCATTCTGACATTGCTCTGGGACTGTCCCAACTTGAGAAAAAGCTGTGTCAGCATTTTCAACGCATTGAAATTAAAGGGAAAAGAAGTCGGAAAGTGCCGGTTCTTTTGACTCCTGAAATGATTGCTTCGATGGAGGTGCTGGTGGAGAACAGAAGGGCCTGTTCCATCTCTGACCATAACCCATACTTCTTTTCCCGCCCGGGCGCAGACACCCACATCAGGGGATCAGACTCCCTACGCCAGGTAGCCAAAGAATGTGGTGCGGTGCATCCAGAGATGCTATCCTCAACCAAACTTAGAAAGCACATAGCTACTATGTCTACAGTTCTCAATATGAAAGAGAATGAGATGGACATACTTGCCAACTTCCTCGGCCATGACATTCGCATCCACAGGCAATATTACAGACTACCAGAGGGGACACTGGAGCTGGCCAAAATCAGCAAAGTGTTGATGGCCATGGAGCAGGGAAGAGTGACGGAATTCGAAGGAAAGAGCCTCGACCAGATACAAATTGAGCCTGAAGGTAATTCTTAATATTATTAAAATATGTATGATTTTTTTCCCCTAAAGGCCACTTGTATTTTTATTTTCTGTGCGACAGGGAGAGCAGTAGAGATCCTCTCACAAACGGACGGGCTAAAAGAAACTTCAAGCGGAGAACCTTCAACCATTCATCCAGATGCACCCCATGGTAGTGGCAGTGCCCCTTCTGGTAAGTGTACCAGGTGGGGGATTACAGCCAGGCTGCTTGGTCCTCACCCTGGGAGTGTATATTGCTAATATATTTTTATTTCTCTCCCTAGAACGTTAGAGAAAGCCATGGTCTGCATCTGAGGTGAAGGCTGTGGAGAAGACCATGACACCTTTCATACAGACTGGAAAGGTCCCTGGGAAGTCTCACTGCCTGGCCTGCATTAATGCCTCACCAGATGACCTTAGACATCGGACATGGAGTGGCATTAAATTCTATGTCAAAAATAGAATCACTGCAATTCGAAAAAAAAATCTAAAATAAAATTCCTTTAAAAGAGTTGTTTGGTTTCTATTGACTGTTTTGTATTACTTAAAGTCTTGGTAAAAAAAGATTATGTCTATGGGTCCCATTCTGAACGGCCCTGTCAAAGGGACCCACCAGGTAACAAAAACGTGTATGTGTGTGTCAGCGTGTGTCTGTGTGTGTCAGTGTGTGTCTGTGTGTGTCTGTGTGTGTCAGTGTGTGTGTGTGTGTGTCAGTGTGTGTGTGTGTGTGTCAGTGTGTGTCTGTGTGTGTCAGTGTGTCAGTGTGTGTCTGTGTGTGTCAGTGTGTGTCAGCGTGTGTCAGTGTGTGTCAGCGTGTGTCAGTGTGTGACTGTGTGTGTCTGTGTGTCTGTGTGTGTGTGTATATTATGGACGAGGACTCTGTGGGCAGTAACATCTACACACACTGGATCAAAGCCACAGCTGTAATGTTGTTGAGCGGCCTCTGCTCACACACTGACACACACTGCTCACACACTGACACACACTGACACACACTGCTCACACACTGACACACACTGACACACACTGCTCACACACTGACACACACTGCTCACACACTGACACACACTGACACACACTGCTCACACACTGACACACACTGCTCACACACTGACACACACTGCTCACACACTGCTCACACACTGACACACACTGCTCACACACTGCTCACACACTGACACACACACACACACTGCTCACACACTGACACACACTGCTCACACACTGACACACACACACACACAGACACACACTGACCATGAAGGCGTTGACCATGGAGCCCAGTATGGCCTGCCGCAGCAGCAGCATGGTCCCCACAGGACACTGGTCCGTGATCACACACTGACACACACTGACACACACACACACACACACACACTGACCATGAAGGCGTTGACCATGGAGCCCAGTATGGCCTGCAGCAGCAGCAGCATGGTCCCCACAGGACACTGGTCTGTGATTACACGGTATCCGTAACCGATGGTCGTCTCGGTCTCGATGGAAAAGAGAAACGCTGAGATGAAGCCGTTCACGTTATTCACACACGGAGTCCAGCTCTCGTCCTCCAGGTGGTCCAGGTCCCCTCTGCGGACACACACATCATTACACACACACACACACACACACACGCACACGCATACACACACACACACACACGCATACACACACACACACACACACACACATCATTACACACACACACACACACACACACACACACGCACACACACACACACCACACAACACACACACACACACATACACACACACACACACCACACACACACAACCAACACACACACACACACACACACACACACACACACACACATCACACACACACACACATACACACACACGCACACGCATACACACACACACACACACACACGCATACACACACACACACACACACACGCATACACATACACACACGCACACGCATACACACACACACACACGCACACACACGCACACACGCATACACACACGCACACACACACACACACACGCACACACACGCATACACACACGCACACACACACACACACACACACACACACACGCACACACACGCATACACACACACGCACACACACGCACACGCATACACACACGCACACACACACACACACACACACACACACACACACACACACACACACGCACACACACGCATACACACACACGCACACACACATCATTACACACACACACACACACACGCATACACACACACGCATACACACATCATTACACACACACACACGCACACGCATACACACACACGCACACACACACACGCACACGCACACACACGCATACACACACACACACGCACACGCACACACACGCATACACACACTTGCACACGCACACACACACACACATTTACACACACACACAGACATTTACACACACGCACACGCATACACACACACATTTACACACACACACACACATTTACACAAACGCACACACACACACGCATACACACACACGCACTGTGTTAGTCTGTGTTAGCATTAGCATCTGTATACAGTCTGTGTTAGCATTAGCATCTGTAAACAGTCTGTGTTAGCATTAGCATCTGTATACAGTCTGTGTTAGCATTAGCATCTGTATACAGTCTGTGTTAGCATTAGCATCTGTATACAGTCTGTGTTAGCATTAGCATCAGTATACAGTCTAATCTGGAACATTTCTATATGATTCTTGCTGCAGACACAGCGTTCTGCGGAGACATGTGATTGGTCCATATCATAATGATGTCATAATGCTGGTTACATGTACTCAGAGCGATTGGTTCATAGCTCACTGTCAGTTTGTGCTGAGGATGCGTCTTTGGGAAACCTCTCAGAGTTTCCATAACGCTGGGACAGACACAGCCGTAAATAACAGATTATTATAACGAGCTGCTTCTGACCAAACAAAACACATGAGTATTTATGAGTATTTATGAGCGTCACATTCTGCTGCGTCCACTCCATCGATCCTCTACAGACTCCAAACGCCACACGTCCATAATCAATACAACTGAGGGCTTTCAACTCATACACTCTGGTTCTCTGGACACACAATGGCAGACGCACAATCTGCCATTTCACACTAAACAAGAGAAGAAGAACTTGACCTCCGTGACTCGGACTTTGACGCTTGGACACGAAGAATAATCACAGGTTCAAAGACTTTAAAGCCGTGGACACTTCTGTTAAATCTGCTTTATCTGGACTAAGCAAAGGCGACCTTCCATGGTCTACAGCCTCAGTCTCAGAGGCTGGAGATGAAGCAGTGTGTGGTGGCGCCCTCTGGTGGCTGCTCTGAGACACAGCTCTAACATGATTTCATCCACACATTAGCAAAGTGCTGAGCCGGCGTTTCTCTGATCTACGACTCGTTATGACTCCTTCTGTTCACACACAGACGGCTTCTTGGCTCCGGGTTTCTGAACATGAGGAGGTCAGAGCGTGGCGGCCAATTACTCTCACCGCGATCACACACACACACACACACACACACACACACACACTCACACACTCACACACTCACACATCACGTGTATCTGTGGTTTAATAATGCATCAGTTTTATATAGCGCTTTTCTGGACACTCAAAGACGCTTCACATGTGTCATTATTCATTCACTCCAAACACGGTGGTGATAAACTACTACTGTAGCCACAGCTGCCCTGGGGCACACTGACAGAAGCGAGGCAACCAGTCTGTGCCATCGGCCCCTCCCACCACCACCAACCACTCACACACACACCAGACTCATTCTAGGCAATGGGGGTGAAGTGTCTTGCCTAAGGACACAACGGCAGTTTGGCACTTTACAGCCGCAGCCGCCCCACTGTGGCTGGTGTTCCCAGAGGTTAAGTGTCTTGCCCAAGGACACAACGACAGTAGTCAGTGGGAGTCGATGGTGAAAGTCTTGAGCGGGGCTTGAACCCACGACCTTCTGGCTCAAAGGCCAACGCTCTACCAACTGAGCTACTGCCGCCTGGATAATGGATAAAGTCAATAGACCAAGTGGAGGACTTAGCGCTGCAGACCTGGCAACTTCTACACAGATGAGATGGAGCTGGTATTGATTTTATGATGAGAAATATTCAGGATCTGGAGGAAAGTGAATGTCTGTGAATGTGTACTTTAGACTTTAACTTAAAGCTGTGGTCTCTAACTTTCAGTCATAAATCATACGTTTGCTCCAAAAGAGTCTAATAATGTGGTCTACAAAAAGTCTACAGCCTCAGTCCTGGGTCTACAGCCTCAGTCCTGGGTCTACAGCCTCAGTCCTGGGTCTTGGGTCTACAGCCTCAGTCCTGGGTCTACAGCCTCAGTCCTGGGTCTACAGCCTCAGTCCTGGGTCTACAGCCTCAGTCCTGGATCTACAGCCTCAGTCCTGGGTCTACAGCCTCAGTCCTGGGTCTACAGCCTCAGTCCTGGGTCTACAGCCTCAGTCCTGGGTCTACAGCCTCAGTCCTGGGTCTACAGTCTCAGTCCTGGGTCTACAGCCTCGGTCCTGACCTGCAGTAGGCGATGAGGTACCAGATGGCTCCGAAGAAGAGCCATGTGACGGCGTAGGCCATGACGAAGACGAAGAGCGAGCACCTCCAGTTGAGGTCGACCAGCGTGGTGAAGATGTCCGTGAGGTACCTGTACGTCTCACGCATGTTCCCGTGCTGCACGTTACAGCGCCCATTCTTCTCCACGTAGCGTTGCCGACGGCGACGGGCGCGAGCTGAAAACACAGGAGAGTGACACACAGGTCGTTAGTAATAATAATAATAATGATAATAATAATAATAATAATAATAACAATGATAATAATAATAATAACAATGATAATAATAATAACAATAATAATAATAATAAGGATAATAATAACAATGATAATAATAATAATAACAATGATAATAATAATAATAATAATAATAATAATGATAATAATAATAATTATTATAATAATAATAATAATAATAATAATAATAATAATAATGATAATAATGATAATAATAATAATAATAATGCATAATAATAATGCATACATTTTCTCTTTCTCTCAAAGTCTCTTCACATCATTATCCTCTCTCTCCAAACACAGTGATGATAAACTACTACTGTAGCCACAGCTGCCCTGGGGCACACTGCCATCGGCCCCTCTGTTAATGCTGGTTCAGCCAGGTTTGTCCTTAAACAGTCGGCCGATGAAAGAAAGGAAACTACAAACTTAGATAGATATAAAAGAAGGTTTAATATATAAAAGAGAATAGATGTAAAGACAGGCCGCAGCCTGGGTCTAACTGCACTGATGGAGAGGCAGAGCACAGACCTCGCTGATAGTCCAGCCTCAGTCTATACCAGAGGTAACAGGATATGAAGATTTCAAACACATGTGACAATATGACCTATGAACTCTAGGTTTGAAAACAATCTTCTCTTCCAACAGAAGAAGTGTCTTCTTTCATGAGACCGCCTCAACCCAGATGTTTTCTGGCTTCATGCTTCTTTATGTGTCTAGTCTTTCACTCTTGCCTGGGGCTGGGAGAATGCTGCATCCTGCCACCCTCCACATGAGTTGGTTAACTAGACTAGACCCTACTAATCTACACACATTAATTAATATCATAATACACATAACATTTCTTGACAGCCTCCCACCACCACCAACCATTCACACACACACCAGACTCATTCTAATGTGGGGGAAGTGTCTTGCCTAAGGACACAACCACAGTTTGGTACTTTACAGCCGCAGCCGCCCCACTGTGGCACCTGCTGTTCCCAGAGTAAGTAAGTAATAGTACTGGAGTGCTGGTGGAGGGCATGGCCGGAGGATTCCCTGGAGCTGGTGGTGGCTCCTCTGGTGGTGGCTCCTCTGGTGGTGGCTCCTCTGGTGGTGGCTCCTCTGGTGGTGGCTCCTCTGGTGGTGGCTCCTCTGGTGGTGGTTCCTCTGGTGGTGGCTCCTCTGGTGGTGGCTCCTCCTGGTGGTGGCTCCGCTGGTGGTGACTCCTCTGGTGGTGACTCCTCTGGTGGTGACTCCTCTGGTGGTGGCTCCTCTGGGGGGGTTCCTCTGGTGGTGGCTCCTCTGGTGGTGGCTCCTCTGGTGGTGGCTCCTCTGGTGGTGGCTCCTCCTGGTGGTGGCTCCTCTGGTGGTGACTCCTCTGGTGGTGGCTCCTCTGGTGGTGGCTCCTCTGGTGGTGGCTCCTCTGGTGGTGGCTCCTCTGGTGGTGGCTCCTCTGGTGGTGGCTCCTCTGGTGGTGGCTCCTCTGGTGGTGGTTCCTCTGGTGGTGGCTCCTCTGGTGGTGACTCCTCCTGGTGGTGGCTCCGCTGGTGGTGACTCCTCTGGTGGTGACTCCTCTGGTGGTGGCTCCTCTGGTGGTGGCTCCTCTGGTGGTGGCTCCTCTGGTGGTGGCTCCTCTGGTGGTGACTCCTCTGGTGGTGGCTCCTCTGGTGGTGGCTCCTCTGGTGGTGGGCTCCTCGGGGGGGTTCCTCCGGTGGTGGCTCCTCCTGGTGGTGGCTCCTCTGGTGGTGACTCCTCTGGTGGTGGCTCCTCTGGTGGTGGCTCCTCTGGTGGTGGCTCCTCTGGTGGTGGCTCCGCTGGTGGTGGCTCCTCTGGGGGGGTTCCTCTGGTGGTGACTCCTCTCGTGGTGGCTCCTCTGGTGGTGGCTCCTCTGGTGGTGGCTCCTCTGGTGGTGGCTCCTCCTGGTGGTGGCTCCTCTGGTGGTGACTCCTCTGGTGGTGGCTCCTCTGGTGGTGGCTCCTCTGGTGGTGACTCCTCTGGTGGTGGCTCCTCTGGTGGTGGCTCCTCTGGTGGTGGCTCCTCTGGTGGTGGCTCCTCTGGTGGTGGCTCCTCTGGTGGTGGGCTCCTCTGGGGGGGTTCCTCTGGTGGTGGCTCCGCTGGTGGTGACTCCTCTGGTGGTGACTCCTCCGGTGGTGGCTCCTCTGGTGGTGGTTCCTCTGGTGGTGGCTCCTCTGGTGGTGACTCCTCCTGGTGGTGGCTCCTCTGGTGGTGGCTCCTCTGGTGGTGACTCCTCTGGTGGTGGCTCCTCTGGTGGTGGGCTCCTCTGGGGGTGGCTCCTCTGGTGGTGGCTCCTCTGGTGGTGACTCCTCTGGTGGTGGCTCCTCTGGTGGTGGCTCCTCTGGTGGTGGGCTCCTCTGGGGGGGTTCCTCCGGTGGTGGCTCCTCCTGGTGGTGGCTCCTCTGGTGGTGACTCCTCTGGTGGTGGCTCCTCTGGTGGTGGCTCCTCTGGTGGTGGCTCCTCTGGTGGTGGCTCCGCTGGTGGTGGCTCCTCTGGGGGGGTTCCTCTGGTGGTGACTCCTCTCGTGGTGGCTCCTCTGGTGGTGGCTCCTCTGGTGGTGGCTCCTCTGGTGGTGGCTCCTCCTGGTGGTGGCTCCTCTGGTGGTGACTCCTCTGGTGGTGGCTCCTCTGGTGGTGGCTCCTCTGGTGGTGACTCCTCTGGTGGTGGCTCCTCTGGTGGTGGCTCCTCTGGTGGTGGCTCCTCTGGTGGTGGCTCCTCTGGTGGTGGGCTCCTCTGGGGGGGTTCCTCTGGTGGTGGCTCCGCTGGTGGTGACTCCTCTGGTGGTGACTCCTCCGGTGGTGGCTCCTCTGGTGGTGGTTCCTCTGGTGGTGGCTCCTCTGGTGGTGACTCCTCCTGGTGGTGGCTCCTCTGGTGGTGGCTCCTCTGGTGGTGACTCCTCTGGTGGTGGCTCCTCTGGTGGTGGGCTCCTCTGGGGGGGTTCCTCTGGTGGTGGCTCCGCTGGTGGTGACTCCTCTGGTGGTGACTCCTCCGGTGGTGGCTCCTCTGGTGGTGGTTCCTCTGGTGGTGGCTCCTCTGGTGGTGACTCCTCTGGTGGTGGCTCCTCCTGGTGGTGGCTCCTCTGGTGGTGGCTCCTCTGGTGGTGACTCCTCTGGTGGTGGCTCCTCCTGGTGGTGGCTCCTCTGGTGGTGGCTCCTCTGGTGGTGGCTCCTCTGGTGGTGGGCTCCTCTGGGGGGGTTCCTCTGGTGGTGGCTCCGCTGGTGGTGACTCCTCTGGTGGTGACTCCTCCGGTGGTGGCTCCTCTGGTGGTGGCTCCTCTGGTGGTGGCTCCGCTGGTGGTGGCTCCTCTGGGGGGGTTCCTCTGGTGGTGGCTCCTCTGGGGGGGTTCCTTTGGTGGTGACTCCTCTGGTGGTGGCTCCGCTGGTGGTGGCTCCTCTGGTGGTGGCTCCTCTGGGGGGGTTCCTTTGGTGGTGGCTCCTCTGGTGGTGACTCCTCCGGTGGTGGCTCCTCTGGTGGTGGCTCCTCCGGTGGTGGCTCCTCCGGTGGTGGCTCCTCTGGTGGTGGCTCCTCTGGACCAACCATTGAGGAGGTCGACTGAACATTCAAACATTCACTACCTTCAAGCTGCTAAGAAATGTAACCTCTTGAGGTTGACCTTTTAGAGTGTATATATATATATATATATATATATATATATATATATATATATATATATATATATATATATATATATATATATATATATATAAACAAAATGTCCACTCACCTTTGGCCCTCCGCGGGCGGTTATCCCTCTCTAAGCTCGGGTCCTCTACCAGAGGCCAGGGAGCTTGAGGGTTCTGCGCAGTATCTTTGCTGTTCCTAGCACTGCACATTTCTGGACCGAGATGTCCGAGGTTGTTCCGGGGATCCGCTGTAACCACTCATCTAGCTTCGGGGTCACTGCCCCGAGTGCACCGATCACCACGGGCACTACTGTCACCTTTACCCTCCAGGCCCTCTCCAGCTCCTCTCTGAGACCTTGGTATTTCTCAAGCTTTTCATGTTCTTTTTTCCGGATGTTACCATCGCTTGGAATTGCCACGTCCACCACCACGGCTGTCCTCCCTTGTCCACCCCCTTTGTCCTCCCTTGTCTACCACCACGATGTCAGGTTGGTTTGCCATTACCATTCGGTCGGTCTGTATCTGGAAGTCCCACAGGATCTTCGCACGCTCATTTTCCACCACCTTTGGAGGAGTTTCCCACTTAGACCTTGGGGTTTCCAGCCCATACTCTCCACAGATGTTTCTGTACACTATGCCAGCCACTTGGTTATGGCGTTCCATGTAGGCCTTCCCTGCAGCATCTTGCACCCTGCAGTTATGTGTTGGATCGTCTCAGGTGCCTCTTTGCACAACCGACACCTTGGGTCTTGTCTGGTGTGGTATATCTGGGCCTCTATCGCTCTGGTGCTCAGTGCCTGTTCCTGTGCAGCCATGATGAGTGCCTCTGTGCTGTCCTGTAGGCCAGCCCTTTCTAGCCATTGGTAGGACTTCTTGAGATCAGCCACTTCTGTTATGCTCCGGTGGTACATGCCGTGTAGGGGCTTGTTCTCCCATGATGGGCTCTCCTCCAGCACCTCCTCATCTCGCCACTGCCTGAGACATTCACTGAGTACGTCATCCGTTTTGGCCTTCTCCCTGATGTAGTTATGGAGTTTGGATGTTTCGTCCTGGACAGTGGCTCTCACACTCACTAGTCCTCGGCCTCCTTCTTTACGGCTTACGTACAGTCTCAGGGTGCTGGATTTGGGATGGAACCCGCCATGCATGGTAAGGAGCTTTCGAGTTTTAACATCCGTGTTCTGAATCTCTTCCTTTGGCCACCTGATTATTCCTGCAGGGTATCTGATCACTGGCAGGGCGTAGCTGTTAATTGCCCGGGCCTTGTTCTTGCCATTGAGCCGGCTTCTTAGGACCTGCCTTACTCGCTGGAGGTATTTGGCAGTTGCCGCTTTCCTCGTCACCTGTTCGAGGTTGCCATTTGCCTGTGGTATACCGAGATACTTGTAACTGTCCTCAACGTCTGCTATTGTTCCCTCTGGGAGTGAGATCCCTTCTGTGTGGACTACCTTGCCTCTCCGAGTCACCATCCTGCTACATTTCTCGAGCCCGAATGACATCCCGATGTCATGGCTGTAGATCCTGGTTGTTTGGATCAGAGAGTCGATGTCTCTCTCGCTCTTGGCGTACAGCTTGATGTCATCCATGTAGAGGAGGTGACTGATCTTTGCTCCGTTCCTGAGGCGGTATCCATAGCCAGTCTGGTCAATTACTTGGCTTAGAGGGTTGAGGCCTATGCAGAACAGTAGTGGGGACAGAGCATCTCCTTGGTAGATACCACATTTGATGGTCACTTGTGCGAGCGGCTTGCCATTTGCCTCAAGGGTAGTCTTCCACATTCCCATCGAGTTTGCAACGAAGTCCCTTAGAGCCCTGTTGATATTGTACAACTTCAAGCATTCCATGATCCATGTGTGTGGCATTGAGTCGTAGGCTTTCTGGTAATCAATCCAGGCTGTGCACAGGTTGGTGTGTCGTGACCGGCAGTCTTGGGCGACTGTTCTGTCAACCAGGAGCTGGTGTTTGGCTCCTCTGGTGTCCCTACCAATGCCCTTCTGTGCTGTGCTCATGAATTGTTCCATATGCCCACTTATCTTAGCCGCAATGATGCCTGACATGAGCTTCCATGTTGTGGAGAGACAGGTTATTGGCCGGTAGTTGGAGGGGACTGCACCCTTGACAGGGTCCTTCATGATCAGGACCGTTCGCCCTTCGGTTAGCCATTCTGGGTGAGTCCCATCTCTCAGCAGCGGTTCATTTGTGCTGCTAGGCGCTCATGGAGTGATGTGAGTGTCCTTAGCCAGTAGGCATGGACCATATCAGGGCCAGGTGCTGTCCAGTTTTTCATACCTGAGACTCTTTCTCGGATGTCTGCCTCTGTGATGGTAACTGAGTTCTGTTCTGGGAGGTGGCTGTGCTCCTCTCTCAGGGACACCAGCCATTGTGCACTTCTGTTATGTGCTGCATCCTTCTCCCATATGTTCCTCCAGAACTGTTCAGTTTCCAGCCTCGGTGGATCTGCTCCCCTGTTGTTACCCTGCCACTGAGCGTACACCTTCGCAGGTTGTGTTGCGAACAGCCTGTTCACCCTTCTGGCTTCATTCTCTTTAGTGTACCTCTGTAGGCGGCTGGCCAGGGCTTGGAGCCTTTGTTTGGCAGTTTCGAGTGCTTCAGGTATGGTCATCTGGCTGTACTTTCTGGGTACTGGTCTTTTCATTGCACCTCTCTGGGCCTCTGTTAATTGACTCACTTCTCTCCGAGCCGCCTTGATCTTAGCCTCCAACCGTCTTTTCCATGGTGGGTATTGTCCATGGCTCCCATGGTTGCTCTTATAGCCAAGCATCTCTAGGATCACTGCTGCTGAAGTGTATATCAGCTCATTGGTTTCAGTGATTGTGGTGGTAGGTATTGCCCTCACTGCTGCATTCACGCTTTCTATGAGATCCTTAGGTGGTACTTCACACAACCGCTGTAACCGGTGTCTTTGCCCTGTGCCCATTCTAGCCATGATCTTAGCTTTCAGGTCAGTCGCTGCCTCGTTCAGCGTTATCGGTTCCATTGGGGCTATGTACCCAATATCTGGTTGGGGAGTTGCAGTTGGTGGGATCTCCCCTCTGACCTCGGCAACTGTGGCATCATATATGTGTTGTACTTCATCAATCTCAAGCTGTGATAGCAGTTGCCGTTTGTGGATGTTGGAGCATTGAGCTACCAGTTGTTTCGGGGTCAACTGTGACTGTGGGTTTCGAAGTAACCATTCAGCCCACATTCTCTGCATGTAACCTCTTTGGCCAGGGTTACTCGAGTAGTAGCATTCCAACAGAGCCCTGTTATCGCATCTCGTCCACTTTCGCCTTGTTCCAGTAGCCCACTTTTCATCAAGGTGCTCTGGTTCCCCAGCACCTGACGCAGGTGCTGGGGATATATATATATATATATATATATATATATATATATATATATATATATATATATATATATATATATATATATATATATATATATATATATATATATATATATACAGTATATATATATAGCACATGTTACAGACAAGGTACAGAGGTTGGGTCTGTACCTTGTGTACAGACCCAACCTCTGTACCTTGTCTGTACATGTTACAGACAAGGTACAGACCCAAAGCTCTTTCCAATGTTCAGAGTCAGATATTGTTCCATTCATTCCACACACACTGATGACAGAAGCAGGAGGTCTCCCATCACAGCACTAACCAGGCCCTGTCCTGCTTAGCTTCAGAGGCCTCCCATCACAGTATTAACCAGGCCCTGTCCTGCTTAGCTTCAGAGGTCTCTATGTGTTTTTTATTACTGCACTTTGTATGTTTTTATCTGTGTTGTGTTTGTAAAGTCCTCTGAGGAAACGACTGATGGTTTAGGGCGACGCACAAACACATGATCCCTGATGTGTGTGTGTGTGTGTGTGCGTGTGTGTCTGTGTGTGTGTGTGTGTGTGTGTCTGTGTGCGTGTCTTGTTCAAGTTTCATGTGAACGACTAAAATAACTTCAGCAGAAACTCAGAATGTTCTGGATTTAGAACCGAAGGAAGAGATTCTGTCTCTGAAAACCTGCTCAGTCCTGGGTCTACAGCCTCAGTCCTGGGTCTGCAGCCTCAGTCCTGGGTCTACAGCCTCAGTCCTGGGTCTACAGCCTCAGTCCTGGGTCTACAGCCTCAGTCCTGGGTCTACAGCCTCAGTCCAGGGTCTACAGCCTCAGTCCTGGGTCTACAGCCTCAGTCCTGGGTCTACAGCCTCAGTCCTGGGTCTAGAGCCTCAGGCCTGGGTCTACAGCCTCAGTCCTGGGTCTACAGCCTCAGTCCTGGGTCTACAGCCTCAGTCCTGGATCTACAGCCTCAGTCCTGGGTCTACAGCCTCAGTCCTGGGTCTACAGCCTCAGTCCTGGGTCTACAGTCTCAGTCCTGGGTCTACAGCCTCAGTCCTGGGTCTACAGTCTCAGTCCTGGGTCTACAGCCTCAGTCCTGGGTCTACAGCCTCAGTCCTGGGTCTACAGCCTCAGTCCTGGGTCTACAGTCTCAGTCCTGGGTCTACAGCCTCAGTCCTGGGTCTACAGCCTCAGTCCTGGGTCTACAGCCTCAGTCCTGGGTCTACAGCCTCAGTCCAGGGTCTACAGCCTCAGTCCTGGGTCTACAGCCTCAGTCCTGGGTCTACAGCCTCAGTCCTGGGTCTACAGCCTCAGGCCTGGGTCTACAGCCTCAGTCCTGGGTCTACAGCCTCAGTCCTGGGTCTACAGCCTCAGTCCTGGATCTACAGCCTCAGTCCTGGGTCTACAGCCTCAGTCCTGGGTCTACAGCCTCAGTCCTGGGTCTACAGTCTCAGTCCTGGGTCTACAGCCTCAGTCCTGGGTCTACAGTCTCAGTCCTGGGTCTACAGCCTCAGTCCTGGGTCTACAGCCTCAGTCCTGGGTCTACAGCCTCAGTCCTTTCTGTTCTAACCTTTTGAAGGACGTGCTGCATAATTGATGCTGGTGTTCAGTGAATAATCTATAAATAGTTCCTGCTCGGTTTGTTTTTACTTTGAAACACAGCGAGAAGGGACCACACTGAGATGGGGTCTGGGTCTGGGTCTGGTCTGGGTCTGGTCTGGTCTGGGTCTGGGTCTGGGTCTGGGTCTGGGTCTGGTCTGGGTCTGGGTCTGGTCTGGGTCTGGGTAAACAGATTGAGTGTGTGGATAGTTTCAAGTATCTGGGTTTTGTTATTGACTCTATCTTTCTCTGGAGGTTCTTTCAGGAACAGATCATGTTTCACTTAGAGCCCGAAAACTGTTTGTTTCTGAAACTCTTTTACCCTTAAATGACTCTGATGTTATTGATATGACTGCTCCAGGATCACAGAGCTCTGAGCCTTAAATGACTCTGATGTTATTGATATGACTGCTCCAGGATCACAGAGCTCTGAGCCTTAAATGACTCTGATGTTATTGATATGACTGCTCCAGGATCACAGAGCTCTGAGCCTTAAATGACTCTGATGTTATTGATATGACTGCTCCAGGATCACAGAGCTCTGAGCCTTAAATGACTCTGATGTTATTGATATGACTGCTCCAGGATCACAGAGCTCTGAGCCTTAAATGACTCTGATGTTATTGATATGACTGCTCCAGGATCACAGAGCTCTGAGCCTTAAATGACTCTGATGTTATTGATATGACTGCTCCAGGATCACAGAGCTCTGAGCCTTAAATGACTCTGATGTTATTGATATGTCTGCTCCAGGATCACAGAGCTCTGAGCCTTAATGACTCTGATGTTATTGATATGACTGCTCAGGATCACAGAGCTCTGAGCCTTAAATGATCTGATGTTACTGTCTGCTCCAGGATCACAGAGCTCTGAGCCTTAAATGACTCTGATGTTATTGATATGACTGCTCCAGGATCACAGAGCTCTGAGCCTTAAATGACTCTGATGTTATTGATATGACTGCTCCAGGATCACAGAGCTCTGAGCCTTAAATGACTCTGATGTTATTGATATGACTGCTCCAGGATCACAGAGCTCTGAGCCTTAAATGACTCTGATGTTATTGATATGACTGCTCCAGGATCACAGAGCTCTGAGCCTTAAATGACTCTGATGTTATTGATATGTCTGCTCCAGGATCACAGAGCTCTGAGCCTTAAATGACTCTGATGTTATTGATGTGACTGCTCCAGGATCACAGAGCTCTGAGCCTTAAATGACTCTGATGTTATTGATATGACTGCTCCAGGATCACAGAGCTCTGAGCCTTAAATGACTCTGATGTTATTGATATGACTGCTCCAGGATCACAGAGCTCTGAGCCTTAAATGACTCTGATGTTATTGATATGACTGCTCCAGGATCACAGAGCTCTGAGCCTTAAATGACTCTGATGTTATTGATATGACTGCTCCAGGATCACAGAGCTCTGAGCCTTAAATGACTCTGATGTTATTGATATGACTGCTCCAGGATCACAGAGCTCTGAGCCTTAAATGACTCTGATGTTATTGATATGACTGCTCCAGGATCACAGAGCTCTGAGCCTTAAATGACTCTGATGTTATTGATATGTCTGCTCCAGGATCACAGAGCTCTGAGCCTTAAATGACTCTGATGTTATTGATATGACTGCTCCAGGATCACAGAGCTCTGAGCCTTAAATGACTCTGATGTTATTGATATGACTGCTCCAGGATCACAGAGCTCTGAGCCTTAAATGACTCTGATGTTATTGATATGACTGCTCCAGGATCACAGAGCTCTGAGCCTTAAATGACTCTGATGTTATTGATATGTCTGCTCCAGGATCACAGAGCTCTGAGCCTTAAATGACTCTGATGTTATTGATATGACTGCTCCAGGATCACAGAGCTCTGAGCCTTAAATGACTCTGATGTTATTGATATGTCTGCTCCAGGATCACAGAGCTCTGAGCCTTAAATGACTCTGATGTTATTGATATGTCTGCTCCAGGATCACAGAGCTCTGAGCCTTAAATGACTCTGATGTTATTGATATGACTGCTCCAGGATCACAGAGCTCTGAGCCTTAAATGACTCTGATGTTATTGATATGTCTGCTCCAGGATCACAGAGCTCTGAGCCTTAAATGACTCTGATGTTATTGATATGACTGCTCCAGGATCACAGAGCTCTGAGCCTTAAATGACTCTGATGTTATTGATATGTCTGCTCCAGGATCACAGAGCTCTGAGCCTTAAATGACTCTGATGTTATTGATATGTCTGCTCCAGGATCACAGAGCTCTGAGCCTTAAATGACTCTGATGTTATTGATATGACTGCTCCAGGATCACAGAGCTCTGAGCCTTAAATGACTCTGATGTTATTGATATGACTGCTCCAGGATCACAGAGCTCTGAGCCTTAAATGACTCTGATGTTATTGATATGACTGCTCCAGGATCACAGAGCTCTGAGCCTTAAATGACTCTGATGTTATTGATATGACTGCTCCAGGATCACAGAGCTCTGAGCCTTAAATGACTCTGATGTTATTGATATGTCTGCTCCAGGATCACAGAGCTCTGAGCCTTAAATGACTCTGATGTTATTGATATGACTGCTCCAGGATCACAGAGCTCTGAGCCTTAAATGACTCTGATGTTATTGATATGTCTGCTCCAGGATCACAGAGCTCTGAGCCTTAAATGACTCTGATGTTATTGATATGACTGCTCCAGGATCACAGAGCTCTGAGCCTTAAATGACTCTGATGTTATTGATATGTCTGCTCCAGGATCACAGAGCTCTGAGCCTTAAATGACTCTGATGTTATTGATATGTCTGCTCCAGGATCACAGAGCTCTGAGCCTTAAATGACTCTGATGTTATTGATATGACTGCTCCAGGATCACAGAGCTCTGAGCCTTAAATGACTCTGATGTTATTGATATGACTGCTCCAGGATCACAGAGCTCTGAGCCTTAAATGACTCTGATGTTATTGATATGACTGCTCCAGGATCACAGAGCTCTGAGCCTTAAATGACTCTGATGTTATTGATATGACTGCTCCAGGATCACAGAGCTCTGAGCCTTAAATGACTCTGATGTTATTGATATGTCTGCTCCAGGATCACAGAGCTCTGAGCCTTAAATGACTCTGATGTTATTGATATGACTGCTCCAGGATCACAGAGCTCTGAGCCTTAAATGACTCTGATGTTATTGATATGACTGCTCCAGGATCACAGAGCTCTGAGCCTTAAATGACTCTGATGTTATTGATATGACTGCTCCAGGATCACAGAGCTCTGAGCCTTAAATGACTCTGATGTTATTGATATGACTGCTCCAGGATCACAGAGCTCTGAGCCTTAAATGACTCTGATGTTATTGATATGACTGCTCCAGGATCACAGAGCTCTGAGCCTTAAATGACTCTGATGTTATTGATATGACTGCTCCAGGATCACAGAGCTCTGAGCCTTAAATGACTCTGATGTTATTGATATGACTGCTCCAGGATCACAGAGCTCTGAGCCTTAAATGACTCTGATGTTATTGATATGACTGCTCCAGGATCACAGAGCTCTGAGCCTTAAATGACTCTGATGTTATTGATATGACTGCTCCAGGATCACAGAGCTCTGAGCCTTAAATGACTCTGATGTTATTGATATGTCTGCTCCAGGATCACAGAGCTCTGAGCCTTAAATGACTCTGATGTTATTGATATGACTGCTCCAGGATCACAGAGCTCTGAGCCTTAAATGACTCTGATGTTATTGATATGACTGCTCCAGGATCACAGAGCTCTGAGCCTTAAATGACTCTGATGTTATTGATATGACTGCTCCAGGATCACAGAGCTCTGAGCCTTAAATGACTCTGATGTTATTGATATGTCTGCTCCAGGATCACAGAGCTCTGAGCCTTAAATGACTCTGATGTTATTGATATGACTGCTCCAGGATCACAGAGCTCTGAGCCTTAAATGACTCTGATGTTATTGATATGTCTGCTCCAGGATCACAGAGCTCTGAGCCTTAAATGACTCTGATGTTATTGATATGTCTGCTCCAGGATCACAGAGCTCTGAGCCTTAAATGACTCTGATGTTATTGATATGACTGCTCCAGGATCACAGAGCTCTGAGCCTTAAATGACTCTGATGTTATTGATATGACTGCTCCAGGATCACAGAGCTCTGAGCCTTAAATGACTCTGATGTTATTGATATGTCTGCTCCAGGATCACAGAGCTCTGAGCCTTAAATGACTCTGATGTTATTGATATGTCTGCTCCAGGATCACAGAGCTCTGAGCCTTAAATGACTCTGATGTTATTGATATGACTGCTCCAGGATCACAGAGCTCTGAGCCTTAAATGACTCTGATGTTATTGATATGACTGCTCCAGGATCACAGAGCTCTGAGCGACGGGACAGGATGTGGTTGCCACGTCACTGTGAACTCTATGCTAAAGCCCAGTGGCCTCCACTGGCAGTGAGGAGGTGCAATGAGGAGGTGCACGCACTGGCAGTGAGGAGGTGCACACACTGGCAGTGAGGAGGCGCAGTGAGGAGGTGCAGTGAGGAGGCGCAGTGAGGAGGCGCAGTGAGGAGGTGCAGTGAGGAGGCGCAGTGAGGAGGTGCAGTGAGAAGGCGCAGTGAGAGGTGCAGTGAGGAGGCGCAGTGAGGAGGCGCAGTGAGGAGGCGCAGTGAGGAGGTGCAGTGAGGAGGTGCAGTGAGGAGGCGCAGTGAGAGGTGCAGTGAGGAGGCGCAGTGAGGAGGTGCAGTGAGGAGGTGCAGTGAGGAGGTGCAGTGAGGAGGCGCAGTGAGGAGGTGCAGTGAGGAGGTGCACACACTGGATGCTGTTGGTGTACAAAGCTCTTCTTGGGTCTGTTCCTGTCTGTGCTCCCTCCTTCAGAGAACCAGGAGCCACAGTTTACGTTCCAATGATTCTTTCCTTCTGAATGTTCCACGTGTCCGGAACAGTCTGAGTCAGAACTGAAGTGGTCCATTCTGCTCCTGCAGGAACAGTCTGAGTCAGAACTGAAGTGGTCCATTCTGCTCCTGCAGGAACAGTCTGAGTCAGAACTGAAGTGGTCCATTCTGCTCCTGCAGGAACAGTCTGAGTCAGAACTGAAGTGGTCCATTCTGCTCCTGCAGGAACAGTCTGAGTCAGAACTGAAGTGGTCCATTCTGCTCCTGCAGGAACAGTCTGAGTCAGAACTGAAGTGGTCCAAATTGTTCTCGCTAAACGCATTTCGTTCACTTGTATTTAAAAAACAGCTCTGGACCATTGCCAAGTGCTCATGCTTTTAAACTTTAACTTGTCTTATTGTTGCCTTTAGTTTATTGGATGATGTAAATGTTTTGTAATTTCACTGTTTGTATTTTGTTGTATTATCGTATTGTTTTATTGTTGTTCTGTAAAGTGCCCTTGACGTGTGCTACAGACCTCTGGGCAGGACTCCCTTGGAAAAGAGATCTCGATCTCAATGGGTATTCTCCTGGTTAAATAAAGGTTAAATAAAAAAATAAAATAAATTGTTTAGCAGTTAGTATTGAGCCGTTAGCATTAGCAGTTACAATTGGGCCGTTAGCATTAGCAGTTAGCATTAGGCCGTTAGCATTAGCTGTTAGCATTTAAAACAAACTACATTGATGTTGCTAACATAAAAAAAAAGAGCACAGAGCTGTAGTCTGTAGTTTCTCACACACAGGAAATATATTATTATCATTATTATTATTATTATTATTATTATTATCATTATCATTACCATTATTATTACTATTATTATTGTTATTGTTATTATTATTATTATTATCATTATTATTATTATTATTTTTGTTGTTATTGTTATTATCTTATGCCTTTGTTTGAGACATAAAAATAAATAATAATAATAATGCATCAGTTTTATATAGCGCTTTTCAGGACACTCAAAGACGCTTCACATGTGTCATTATTCATTCACTCCAAACACGGTGGTGATAAACTACTGTAGCCACAGCTGCCCTGGGGCACACTGACAGAAGCGAGGCAACCAGTCTGTGCCATCGGCCCCTCCGACCACCACCAACCATTCACACACACACCAGACTCATTCTAGGCAATGGGGGTGAAGTGTCTTGCCTAAGGACACAACGGCAGTTTGGCACTTTACAGCCGCAGCCGCCCCACTGTGGCTGCTGTTCCCAGAGGTTAAGTGTCTTGCCCAAGGACACAACAACAGTAGTCAGTGGGAGTCGATGGTGAAAGTCTTGAGCGGGGCTTGAACCCACAACCTTCTGGCTCAAAGGCCAACGCTCTACCAACTGAGCTACTGCCGCCCCTAAAACTACACTAACACACAAACATACATCACCTGATCATGCTGCTGCGGGTTTTTAAACTAAAATCTAAACCAGAATGAACCAAAACACCAGAGTCTGTTTCAGCGTCAGACAAACTGTTACAGAACAAAAGGATTTCAGGCTTTGATGTGGGAGTCCCCTTTGAAGAGTCTGATGGTGCTTTCAGAGCGCCAACGCTGAAACGCTGAAGCCCCGCTCACCAGACGCACATTCTCTAGTTTTCAGACGCAGAGGACTTCACACCGAGATGTCCTGACGCGCGCCGGAAGTGCCGGAAGTAGCCGGCTCTGATGCTAACAGAGCTATGCTAGCGGCTTCTTGTGTACAGATCTTCTCCAATATGCAGCTTTGCAGCGTCTCTTTGAACAGAGACTTTATATAACAGCAGTATGTGTTCACGGTGACTTTATATAACAGCAGTATGTGTTCACGGAGGTGACTTTATATAACAGCAGTATGTGTTCACGGAGGTGACTTTATATAACAGCAGTATGTGTTCACGGAGGTGACTTTATATAACAGCAGTATGTGTTCACGGAGGTGACTTTATATAACAGCAGTATGTGTTCACAGTGACTTTATATAACAGCAGTATGTGTTCACGGAGGTGACTTTATATAACAGCAGTATGTGTTCACGGAGGTGACTTTATATAACAGCAGTATGTGTTCACGGTGACTTTATATAACAGCAGTATGTGTTCACGGAGGTGACTATATAACAGCAGTATGTGTTCACGGAGGTGACTTTATATAACAGCAGTATGTGTTCACGGAGGTGACTTTATATAACAGCAGTATGTGTTCACGGAGGTGACTTTATATAACAGCAGTATGTGTTCACGGAGGTGACTTTATATAACAGTAGTATGTGTTCACGGAGGTGACTTTATATAACAGCAGTATGTGTTCACGGAGGTGACTTTATATAACAGCAGTATGTGTTCACGGAGGTGACTTTATATAACAGCAGTATGTGTTCACGGAGGTGACTTTATATAACAGTAGTATGTGTTCACGGAGGTGACTTTATATAACAGCAGTATGTGTTCACGGAGGTGACTTTATATAACAGTAGTATGTGTTCACGGAGGTGACTTTATATAACAGCAGTATGTGTTCACGGAGGTGACTTTATATAACAGTAGTATGTGTTCACGGAGATGACTTTATATAACAGTAGTATGTGTTCACGGAGGTGACTTTATATAACAGCAGTATGTGTTCACGGAGGTGACTTTATATAACAGCAGTATGTGTTCACAGTGACTTTATATAACAGCAGTATGTGTTCACGGAGGTGACTTTATATAACAGCAGTATGTGTTCACGGAGGTGACTTTATATAACAGCAGTATGTGTTCACGGAGGTGACTTTATATAACAGCAGTATGTGTTCACGGAGGTGACTTTATATAACAGCAGTATGTGTTCACGGAGGTGACTTTATATAACAGCAGTATGTGTTCACGGAGGTGACATTATATAACAGCAGTATGTGTTCACGGAGGTGACTTTATATAACAGTAGTATGTGTTCACGGAGGTGACTTTATATAACAGCAGTATGTGTTCACGGAGGTGACTTTATATAACAGTAGTATGTGTTCACGGAGGTGACTTTATATAACAGCAGTATGTGTTCACGGAGGTGACTTTATATAACAGTAGTATGTGTTCACGGAGATGACTTTATATAACAGTAGTATGTGTTCACGGAGGTGACTTTATATAACAGCAGTATGTGTTCACGGTGACTTTATATAACAGCAGTATGTGTTCACGGAGGTGACTTTATATAACAGCAGTATGTGTTCACGGAGGTGACTTTATATAACAGCAGTATGTGTTCACGGAGGTGACTTTATATAACAGCAGTATGTGTTCACGGAGGTGACTTTATATAACAGCAGTATGTGTTCACAGAGGTGACTTTATATAACAGCAGTATGTGTTCACGGTGACTTTATATAACAGTAGTATGAACACACTTGAAGCAGTTGCATAAAGTCACGGGAGCATGACAACACATATTTTCACAAGCACAGAGTCCCCCATTGTCAACCCTGGTTTGAGTTCTGGTGAAGTCTGGTGTGGGTCCTGTTTTGGATGTTTACAGTATGTTCAGTCTGCTCGCTCAGTCCGCTAATGTCCCCGTGACCACTTTGCTGCTCTCTGATTGGTTGTCGCACAAATGTCCCAAGGAAAGGATGAGCAGAATCCATCTCCTGTGGGCGTTTTTCGCTCCTGCTCCTCCCTTTTCACTTTCCCGCCAAGTCCATGCGTCTCTACTGAACAGTCCGTGCGTCTCTACTGAACAGTCCGTGCGTCTCTACAGAACAGTCCGTGCGTCTCTACAGAACAGTCCGTGCGTCTCTACAGAGCAGTCCGTGCGTCTCTACAGAACAGTCCGTGCGTCTCTACAGAACAGTCCGTGCGTCTCTACTGAACAGTCCGTGCGTCTCTACAGAACAGTCCGTGCGTCTCTACAGAACAGTCCGTGCGTCTCTACAGAGCAGTCCGTGCGTCTCTACAGAACAGTCCGTGCGTCTCTACAGAGCAGTCCGTGCGTCTCTACAGAGCAGTCCGTGCGTCTCTACTGAACAGTCCGTGCGTCTCTACTGAACAGTCCGTGCGTCTCTACTGAACAGTCCGTGCGTCTCTACAGAACAGTCCGTGCGTCTCTACAGAACAGTCCGTGCGTCTCTACAGAGCAGTCCGTGCGTCTCTACAGAACAGTCCGTGCGTCTCTACAGAACAGTCCGTGCGTCTCTACAGAACAGTCCGTGCGTCTCTACTGAACAGTCCGTGCGTCTCTACTGAACAGTCCGTGCGTCTCTACAGAGCAGTCCGTGCGTCTCTACAGAACAGTCCGTGCGTCTCTACAGAGCAGTCCGTGCGTCTCTACAGAGCAGTCCGTGCGTCTCTACTGAACAGTCCGTGCGTCTCTACAGAACAGTCCGTGCGTCTCTACAGAACAGTCCGTGCGTCTCTACTGAACAGTCCGTGCGTCTCTACAGAACAGTCCGTGCGTCTCTACAGAACAGTCCGTGCGTCTCTACAGAGCAGTCCGTGCGTCTCTACAGAACAGTCCGTGCGTCTCTACAGAGCAGTCCGTGCGTCTCTACAGAGCAGTCTGTGCGTCTCTACAGAACAGTCCGTGCGTCTCTACAGAACAGTCCGTGCGTCTCTACTGAACAGTCCGTGCGTCTCTACAGAACAGTCCGTGCGTCTCTACAGAACAGTCCGTGCGTCTCTACAGAACAGTCCGTGCGTCTCTACAGAGCAGTCCGTGCGTCTCTACTGAACAGTCCGTGCGTCTCTACAGAGCAGTCCGTGCGTCTCTACAGAGCAGTCCGTGCGTCTCTACAGAACAGTCCGTGCGTCTCTACAGAGCAGTCCGTGCGTCTCTACAGAACAGTCCGTGCGTCTCTACTGAACAGTCCGTGCATGTCTACAGAACAGTCCGTGCGTCTCTACTGAACAATCCGTGCGTCTCTACTGAAGAGTCCGTGCGTCTCTACTGAACAGTCCGTGCGTCTCTACAGAACAGTCCGTGCGTCTCTACTGAACAGTCCGTGCGTCTCTACAGAACAGTCCGTGCGTCTCTACAGAACAGTCCGTGCGTCTCTACAGAACAGTCCGTGCGTCTCTACTGAACAGTCCGTGCATCTCTACAGAACAGTCCGTGCGTCTCTACAGAACAGTCCGTGCGTCTCTACTGAACAGTCCGTGCGTCTCTACTGAACAGTCCGTGCGTCTCTACAGAACAGTCCGTGCGTCTCTACTGAACAGTCCGTGCATCTCTACTGAACAGTCCGTGCGTCTCTACAGAACAGTCCGTGCGTCTCTACTGAACAGTCCGTGCGTCTCTACTGAACAGTCCGTGCGTCTCTACTGAACAGTCCGTGCGTCTCTACTGAACAGTCCGTGCGTCTCTACAGAACAGTCCGTGCGTCTCTACAGAACAGTCCGTGCGTCTCTACTGAACAGTCCGTGCGTCTCTACAGAACAGTCCGTGCGTCTCTACAGAACAGTCCGTGCGTCTCTACAGAACAGTCCGTGCGTCTCTACAGAACAGTCCGTGCGTCTCTACTGAACAGTCCGTGCGTCTCTACTGAACAGTCCGTGCGTCTCTACTGAACAGTCCGTGCCGTGCCGAGAGGTCTGTGCGTTGTGACGGCCGAATGCTCGTCACCATAGACTTTGCATTAAAACCCGACGCAACGCAGGATCCGGTCTGAAAGCATCATGAGAGAGGAGCGGGTTTTCACTCTGAGTCTGAGAGAGGAGCAGGTTTTCAGTCTCAGTCCTGGGTCTACAGCCTCAGTCCTGGGTCTGCAGCCTCAGTCCTGGGTCTACAGCCTCAGTCCTGGGTCTACAGTCTCAGTCCTGGGTCTACAGCCTCAGTCCTGGGTCTACAGCCTCAGTCCTGGGTCTACAGCCTCAGTCCTGGGTCTACAGCCTCAGTCCTGGGTCTACAGTCTCAGTCCTGGGTCTACAGCCTCAGTAGAACTCACCCCAGCCAAAGCGGCCCCTCTCCTTCTCCGGCCCCTGGGTCTTCTTGGCTCTCTGGTCTGCTGTAGCTTCTCTCTCTGCGAGTTTGGACTGAAAGGAGCGGTTGACTTTAGCGGGAGGCGTCTCCGTGGTCACGACGTGGCCCAGTTCATCGGACGTTAGCGAGTATGAGGCGTCTGCGGCCACCTGTCCACAGGAGAGTGGCTGTCAATCTGTGCTTTCTGCAGAGGCGGGAAGTGGCAGGATTGTGAAGTGTGTAAGAAGAAGAAGACAAAGAAGACGAAGAAGAAGAAGAAACGGAACTGTTTTTAACCTGGATTTGAACATTGTTAGAGAAGAAGCCTGTCTCACATTTTCAGGAAGACTGTTCCAGGTTCTATGCCACTACCAGTGCCTAGGCCCCTGGGGATCCGAGATCCCTGACTGAGTCTCAGAACCGGGGTCTCTGCGCCAAACAAACCCCCCCCCTCACCTGGACCTTCTCCTCGTCTGAGATCCTGGTCTCGTGCAGAGGCAGAGAGAGAGAGTCTGGTCGTGTGGGGACCTCCTCCAGAGCCATGTCTCCTCCTGGTACCTCCGATGATGGTCTCTATGTGAGTCCAGGGACCATCGGTGAGTCCGTCTGCAGCCTGCGGAGAGAGGAGTGTTAGAGAGACCAGAGAGAGAACAGAGAGAGACCAGAGAGAGACCAGAGAGAGACCAGAGAGAGAGACCAGAGAGAGACCAGAGAGAGACCAGAGAGAGAGACCAGAGAGAGACCAGAGAGAGACCAGAGAGAGACCAGAGACAGACCAGAGAGAGAGCAGGGAGAGACCAGAGAGAGACCAGAGAGAGAGACCAGAGAGAGACCAGAGAGAGACCAGAGAGAGACCAGAGACAGACCAGAGAGAGAGCAGGGAGAGAGACCAGAGAGAGACCAGAGAGAGACCAGAGAGACCAGAGAGAGACCAGAGAGAGAGACCAGAGAGAGACCAGAGAGAGACCAGAGAGAGACCAGAGAGAGACCAGAGAGAGACCAGAGAGACCAGAGAGAGACCAGAGAGAGACCAGAGAGAGTCTCTCTCTGGTCTCTCTTCTGTTGTACAACAGTAGCTCTCTGTTTCTTCTGTTGTACAACAGTAGCTCTCTGTTTCTTCTGTGGTATAACAGTAGCTCTCTGTCTCTTCTGTTGTATAACAGTAGCTCTCTGTCTCTTCTGTTGTATAACAGTAGCTCTCTGTCTCTTCTGTGGTATAACAGTAGCTCTCTGTCTCTTCTGTTGTATAACAGTAGCTCTCTGTCTCTTCTGTGGTATAACAGTAGCTCTCTGTCTCTTCTGTTGTATAACAGTAGCTCTCTGTCTCTTCTGTGGTATAACAGTAGCTCTCTGTCTCTTCTGTTGTATAACAGTAGCTCTCTGTCTCTTCTGTGGTATAACAGTAGCTCTCTGTCTCTTCTGTTGTATAACAGTAGCTCTCTGTCTCTTCTGTGGTATAACAGTAGCTCTCTGTCTCTTCTGTTGTATAACAGTAGCTCTCTGTCTCTTCTGTTGTATAACAGTAGCTCTCTGTCTCTTCTGTGGTATAACAGTAGCTCTCTGTCTCTTCTGTTGTACAACAGTAGCTCTCTGTCTCTTCTGTGGTATAACAGTAGCTCTCTGTCTCTTCTGTGGTATAACAGTAGCTCTCTGTCTCTTCTGTTGTATAACAGTAGCTCTCTGTCTCTTCTGTGGTATAACAGTAGCTCTCTGTCTCTTCTGTTGTACAACAGTAGCTCTCTGTCTCTTCTGTGGTATAACATTAGCTCTCTGTCTCTTCTGTTGTACAACAGTAGCTCTCTGTCTCTTCTGTGGTATAACAGTAGCTCTCTGTCTCTTCTGTTGTATAACAGTAGCTCTCTGTCTCTTCTGTTGTATAACAGTAGCTCTCTGTCTCTTCTGTGGTATAACAGTAGCTCTCTGTCTCTTCTGTGGTATAACAGTAGCTCTCTGTCTCTTCTGTTGTACAACAGTAGCTCTCTGATTGGAAAATGTTGGCGACCACAGTCCTACAGGATCAAGTATCTTTCAGTCTGATGCAGCAGCTGAGATGGTCATTCAGCCAACTTCAGCTGTTGAAGTAAAACATCTGGGCTGCTTTGCTTTAGTTAAAGGGTAAATATGATGCAATATGATATTGTTCCTTAAACATGAATAAATAACATGATAATCATGTGTAATTAACATGATAATCATGATGAAGCCAGACCCAGACCCGACCTGTGAGTCCAGGTTTATTTATAACCGTCTCAGTCTCAGAGTCTGAGTCAGATCTGTCTTTAACCAATCAGGAAGTGGGACCATAACGACCTCCACCACTCATTAAGACTCATCAGTGTCTAAAACACACACAGACTGCTACACAAGAACACACACAGACTGCAACACAAGAACACACACAGACTGCAACACAAGAACACACACAGACTGCAACACAAGAACACACACAGACTGCTACACAAGAACACACACAGACTGCAACACAAGAACACACACAGACTGCAACACAAGAACACACACAGACTGCAACACAAGAACACACACAGACTGCAACACAAGAACACACACAGACTGCTACACAAGAACACACACAGACTGCAACACAAGAACACACACAGACTGCAACACAAGAACACACACAGACTGCAACACAAGAACACACACAGACTGCAACACAAGAACACACACAGACTGCAACACAAGAACACACACAGACTGCAACACAAGAACACACACAGACTGCAACACAAGAACACACACAGACTGCAACACACGAACACACACAGACTGCAACACAAGAACACACACAGACTGCAACACACGAACACACACAGACTGCAACACAAGAACACACACAGACTGCAACACAAGAACACACACAGACTGCAACACAAGAACACACACAGACTGCAACACAAGAACACACACAGACTGCAACACAAGAACACACACAGACTGCAACACAAGAACACACACAGACTGCAACACAAGAACACACACAGACTGCAACACACGAACACACACAGACTGCAACACAAGAACACACACAGACTGCAACACACGAACACACACAGACTGCAACACAAGAACACACACAGACTGCAACACAAGAACACACACAGACTGCAACACAAGAACACACACAGACTGCAACACACGAACACACACAGACTGCAACACAAGAACACACACAGACTGCAACACACGAACACACACAGACTGCAACACAAGAACACACACAGACTGCAACACAAGAACACACACAGACTGCAACACACGAACACACACAGACTGCAACACAAGAACACACACAGACTGCAACACAAGAACACACACAGACTGCTACACAAGAACACACACAGACTGCAACACAAGAACACACACAGACTGCAACACAAGAACACACACAGACTGCAACACAAGAACACACACAGACTGCAACACACGAACACACACAGACTGCAACACAAGAACACACACAGACTGCTACACACGAACACACACAGACTGCAACACAAGAACACACACAGACTGCAACACAAGAACACACACAGACTGCAACACAAGAACACACACAGACTGCAACACACGAACACACACAGACTGCAACACAAGAACACACACAGACTGCAACACAAGAACACACACAGACTGCTACACAAGAACACACACAGACTGCAACACAAGAACACACACAGACTGCAACACAAGTCTGAGAGCGACAGAAGAAGCAGGAGCTGGTTTCAATGTTTGGGCTTTTCTTCCGCCTCATCCTGTCCCTGCAGTGTGACCGGCAGCTGATCATATCCGTGGCCTGTGAGTTCCTGCCCCGCACACATCAGGTCAGTCTGGGGAATAACAGCAACTGGCCTCAACTACAGTGTGTTTTCTGACTTAAACTGTAGGGGGCGCAATACACACATGTTGTTGGAGCACATTGGGTGATATCTCCGGATCTGAGTACAACTAGTTGCCAAAAAGTAGAACACGGGCAACTGACTGAATCCGGAGATCGACTGTTTATGTCCAGTTGTAAGAGCGCTCACATCGACCGATTTCATCTGATCATCTCCATCATCTGCTCTCAGTCGCCAAAAGCCGCCTGGAAACTAGTTGCAAGGCGGCTCTGTCGATGCTAGGCTTAAGAATAATGTGCAATAGCGTGCAGTAATGTCAGAGTGTGCAATAGGACCACATGTGTCCATGTGACAGCCTGATGATACACACACTGTAGTTTTGTTATTGATAGAGACGGAGTTTTGCTTCATTTCCACTCATGTGTGCTGTGTCCTGTAACTGGTGATGCAACACTGACATTTCCCCGCTGCAGACCTCTCCGTGTTCATAAACTCATTCAATTCCATGAAACTAATTGAACATGACGTCACCTCAACCGTATAAGACGTCACTTTACACTGAAACACATGCATTTAGAACTGATGTGACGTGAAAGCCTCCTCCCCCCCTCCTCCCCCCCCCTCCTCCTCCCCTCCCCCCCCCCCCCCCCTCCTCCTCCTCCCCCCCCTCCCCCCCTCCTCCTCCTCCCCCCCCCTCCTCCTCCCCCCTCCTCCTCCTCCCCCACCTGGTGCACGTCACCCCTGTACACACATTTGCATAAGCAGTTATATATAATTCTATAGGTTTAGATGCACAGAGGCAGACCCCCCAGAGAGCCCCAGTCCCCACAGAGCTGTTCTGTTCTGTCCGCTGCACAACATGACCTCCTCCACTTCCACTTCCAGGCCTATAAATACATCCCATAACACAACACTGCCCACCGCGATGGCTCCCTGCCTTCAGCTGGACACTTCAGGCCATGATCTGAGCTACAATCAGAAAACAAAAGCGTGGAGTAAAGCTTTGTAAAGCTTTGCATGTTTCATAATGTGTCGTGAATAAATGCAAATGTGATTAGAATCTGCTGAAAACAGGCTGTGACACGCTCAAGCCGCGGCGTGAGGACTGGCCTGTGTCGCTGCCGTAATTAGTGCGTGTTATTGGGTAATTTATGAGTAAAATGGGGATTGACTGAAGCTGTGACGCACTACGGCGGGGTTTGGAGCAGCTGCTTGCGGAGAGCGGAGAGAGGAAGGAGGAGAAAGATGCTGTAACCTGTTCAGTGAAGCGCCTCCGAGTCCACGGCGTCCATCTCCGGTGTGTAGGAAGCACGAAGGGTCCGCTCCGTCCTGATGTCTCTCCGGAGTCCGAACAGAAGCAGCATCAGAGCGGGCAGAGAGGAGCAGAGGAGGCAGAGAGGAGCAGAGGAGGAGCAGAGGAGCAGAGGAGCAGAGGAGAGAGAGGAGTCAGCCGAGGAGAGAGGATGGTGAAGCCGGGTCTGAGCACACGGATCCAGGGTGCAGAGAGAGAGAGAGAGGTGGATGAGAGATGGAGGAAATAGATGGAGGAGGAGAGATGGAGGAGGAGGAGGAGAGAGAGAGGGAGGAATTGATGGAGGAGGAGGAGGAGAGAGAGAGGGAGGAGAGAGGATGGAAAAGAGAGGAGAAAGGACAGAGAGAAGAAAGAGGACAGAGGAGAGAGAGGAGCAGGTGTGCAGACATTTCCCAAACACTTTCTGTGACTGACACTTTCATCTATGAGGCTGTGCACAGGAACAACTGGATTTTACTCTAATCAATGTTTGTATTCATCAGCCATTGCTTTAATAGGAAACTCTCTTAATAACCACTGGGGAAGTGTCTTGCCCAAGGACACAACCACAGTTTGGCACAGCCGCCCACTGTGGCACCTGGCATTCTCAGAGGTCTCCCATCACAGTTCCTACCAGACCCTGTCCTGTTTAGCTTTAGAGGTCTGAGGGGATCTGAAAAAAGCCCATCACGTGAGTAATGACCACAACATTTAAATAATGTATTTAATTACATGTTGACATTTTAAATATTTGAATCAATATTTATAAATGATATGGGTTTATAATTATTATACCTCGTACATTACACACTTGTATCAACATTTTATTTTATGTTTTTATTTCATCTTTTTGATGTGATCTTTTCCGCTGAGGTTCCGTAGTTTCCGTGTGTCCGTGAACGCAGCAGCGCAGCCTCTTTCCAACATGTCTGTGTACGGGCCCGTGGTGAAGATCCACCCGGTGGTTTTAGCCTCCATCTGCGACTCCTACGAGCGGAGGAACGAGGGGGCGAGCCGCGTGATCGGGACCCTGCTCGGTGAGACATCCACACGGCTGCAGCCAAGTGTTGGACCCTATGAAACTGTGGGAATATAAAGGATGATGCGCGAGTTAGCTCCGGATGCTAACCATGCTAATGCTAACCATGCTAATGCTAACCATGCTAATGCTAACACACGTTTGCTACAGTAGCGTCCTGTTAGCAGGTGTTAGCATCGCTGGGTTTTTTAATTTCCGACTGTTTTTTAGTGATGTACAGTGTTATACTGAGTAGTCTTTAAATAACTTATGTATAACTTTATTATAACTTATGTATTTAACTGCTGTAATGAAATGAATCTGGGATAAACATCTAATTATGTTCCTTCTGGATATTGTTCTGTTATGTTAGCATCACAAGAGAAGCTAAAGCATCACTCTATAACATTATCTAAACGAGATCATATTTAAATTTGGGGTACTAACATTTATTATTTATTAAAAGACATGTTTGTTCTAACAACATCTTGTAGAAGTAAAATGTTAAGATTAGAGAACTGTCCTGTGTAATGGGAATAGTTTAATTGCTCCGTAAATAACAATTCGATCATGGTCTGTTTATCTCAGATCTCATTATAATAAATACTGAGCCGTTTGTGATTTTACTGCAAATGTCAAAAACACTGAACCTGAATCCATCTGTTGTTTATGAGACAATAACGTGAGGGACCCCAGCTTTAACTTTTGTCTGTTGGACCTGTTTCTGTTCAGGCACCATCGACAAACACTCGATAGAAGTCACCAACTGCTTCTCTGTGCCGCACAATGAGTCCGAAGACGAGGTTTGTGTTGTTTCTGCGGCCTTAGACATGAGTTAGAGTTCATTCTTCTTCTTCTGCAGGTTGCCTTAGACATGAGTTAGAGTTCATTCTTCTTCTTCTGCAGGTTGCCTTAGACATGAGTTAGAGTTCATTCTTCTTCTGCAGGTTGCCTTAGACATGAGTTAGAGTTCATTCTTCTTCTTCTGCAGGTTGCCTTAGACATGAGTTAGAGTTCATTCTTCTTCTGCAGGTTGCCTTAGACATGAGTTAGAGTTCATTCTTCTTCTTCTGCAGGTTGCCTTAGACATGAGTTAGAGTTCATTCTTCTTCTTCTGCAGGTTGCCTTAGACATGAGTTAGAGTTCATTCTTCTTCTTCTGCAGGTTGCCTTAGACATGAGTTAGAGTTCATTCTTCTTCTTCTGCAGGTTGCCTTAGACATGAGTTAGAGTTCATTCTTCTTCTTCTGCAGGTTGCCTTAGACATGAGTTAGAGTTCTCATTCTTCTTCTTCTTCTGCAGGTTGCCTTAGACATGAGTTAGAGTTCATTCTTCTTCTTCTGCAGGTTGCCTTAGACATGAGTTAGAGTTCATTCTTCTTCTTCTGCAGGTTGCCTTAGACATGAGTTAGAGTTCATTCTTCTTCTTCTTCTGCAGGTTGCCTTAGACATGAGTTAGAGTCAATTCTTCTTCTTCTGCAGGTTGCCTTAGACATGAGTTAGAGTTCATTCTTCTTCTTCTTCTGCAGGTTGCCTTAGACATGAGTTAGAGTTCATTCTTCTTCTTCTGCAGGTTGCCTTAGACATGAGTTAGAGTTCATTCTTCTTCTTCTGCAGGTTGCCTTAGACATGAGTTAGAGTTCATTCTTCTTCTTCTGCAGGTTGCCTTAGACATGAGTTAGAGTTCATTCTTCTTCTTCTGCAGGTTGCCTTAGACATGAGTTAGAGTTCATTCTTCTTCTTCTGCAGGTTGCCTTAGACATGAGTTAGAGTTCATTCTTCTTCTTCTTCTGCAGGTTGCCTTAGACATGAGTTAGAGTTCATTCTTCTTCTTCTTCTGCAGGTTGCCTTAGACATGAGTTAGAGTTCATTCTTCTTCTTCTGCAGGTTGCCTTAGACATGAGTTAGAGTTCATTCTTCTTCTTCTTCTGCAGGTTGCCTTAGACATGAGTTAGAGTTCATTCTTCTTCTTCTGCAGGTTGCCTTAGACATGAGTTAGAGTTCATTCTTCTTCTTCTGCAGGTTGCTTTAGACATGAGTTAGAGTTCATTCTTCTTCTTCTGCAGGTTGCCTTAGACATGAGTTAGAGTTCATTCTTCTTCTTCTTCTGCAGGTTGCCTTAGACATGAGTTAGAGTTCATTCTTCTTCTTCTGCAGGTTGCCTTAGACATGAGTTAGAGTTCATTCTTCTTCTTCTGCAGGTTGCCTTAGACATGAGTTAGAGTTCATTCTTCTTCTTCTGCAGGTTGCCTTAGACATGAGTTAGAGTTCATTCTTCTTCTTCTTCTGCAGGTTGCCTTAGACATGAGTTAGAGTTCATTCTTCTTCTTCTTCTGCAGGTTGCCTTAGACATGAGTTAGAGTTCATTCTTCTTCTTCTTCTGCAGGTTGCCTTAGACATGAGTTAGAGTTCATTCTTCTTCTTCTGCAGGTTGCCTTAGACATGAGTTAGAGTTCATTCTTCTTCTTCTGCAGGTTGCCTTAGACATGAGTTAGAGTTCATTCTTCTTCTTCTGCAGGTTGCCTTAGACATGAGTTAGAGTTCATTCTTCTTCTTCTTCTGCAGGTTGCCTTAGACATGAGTTAGAGTTCATTCTTCTTCTTCTTCTGCAGATTGCCTTAGACATGAGTTAGAGTTCATTCTTCTTCTTCTTCTGCAGGTTGCCTTAGACATGAGTTAGAGTTCATTCTTCTTCTTCTGCAGGTTGCCTTAGACATGAGTTAGAGTTCATTCTTCTTCTTCTGCAGGTTGCCTTAGACATGAGTTAGAGTTCATTCTTCTTCTTCTTCTGCAGGTTGCCTTAGACATGAGTTAGAGTTCATTCTTCTTCTTCTGCAGGTTGCTGTAGACATGAGTTAGAGTTCATTCTTCTTCTTCTTCTGCAGGTTGCCTTAGACATGAGTTAGAGTTCATTCTTCTTCTGCAGGTTGCCTTAGACATGAGTTAGAGTTCATTCTTCTTCTTCTGCAGGTTGCCTTAGACATGAGTTAGAGTTCATTCTTCTTCTTCTGCAGGTTGCCTTAGACATGAGTTAGAGTTCATTCTTCTTCTTCTGCAGGTTGCCTTAGACATGAGTTAGAGTTCATTCTTCTTCTTCTGCAGGTTGCCTTAGACATGAGTTAGAGTTCATTCTTCTTCTTCTGCAGGTTGCCTTAGACATGAGTTAGAGTTCATTCTTCTTCTTCTGCAGGTTGCCTTAGACATGAGTTAGAGTTCATTCTTCTTCTTCTGCAGGTTGCCTTAGACATGAGTTAGAGTTCATTCTTCTTCTTCTGCAGGTTGCCTTAGACATGAGTTAGAGTTCATTCTTCTTCTTCTTCTGCAGGTTGCCTTAGACATGAGTTAGAGTTCATTCTTCTTCTTCTTCTGCAGGTTGCCTTAGACATGAGTTAGAGTTCATTCTTCTTCTTCTGCAGGTTGCCTTAGACATGAGTTAGAGTTCATTCTTCTTCTTCTTCTGCAGGTTGCCTTAGACATGAGTTAGAGTTCATTCTTCTTCTTCTGCAGGTTGCCTTAGACATGAGTTAGAGTTCATTCTTCTTCTTCTTCTGCAGGTTGCCTTAGACATGAGTTAGAGTTCATTCTTCTTCTTCTTCTGCAGGTTGCCTTAGACATGAGTTAGAGTTCATTCTTCTTCTTCTTCTGCAGGTTGCCTTAGACATGAGTTAGAGTTCATTCTTCTTCTTCTTCTGCAGATTGCCTTAGACATGAGTTAGAGTTCATTCTTCTTCTTCTTCTGCAGGTTGCCTTAGACATGAGTTAGAGTTCATTCTTCTTCTTCTGCAGGTTGCCTTAGACATGAGTTAGAGTTCATTCTTCTTCTTCTGCAGGTTGCCTTAGACATGAGTTAGAGTTCATTCTTCTTCTTCTGCAGGTTGCCTTAGACATGAGTTAGAGTTCATTCTTCTTCTTCTGCAGGTTGCCTTAGACATGAGTTAGAGTTCATTCTTCTTCTTCTGCAGGTTGCCTTAGACATGAGTTAGAGTTCATTCTTCTTCTTCTGCAGGTTGCCTTAGACATGAGTTAGAGTTCATTCTTCTTCTTCTGCAGGTTGCCTTAGACATGAGTTAGAGTTCATTCTTCTTCTTCTTCTGCAGGTTGCCTTAGACATGAGTTAGAGTTCATTCTTCTTCTGCAGGTTGCCTTAGACATGAGTTAGAGTTCATTCTTCTTCTTCTGCAGGTTGCCTTAGACATGAGTTAGAGTTCATTCTTCTTCTTCTTCTGCAGGTTGCCTTAGACATGAGTTAGAGTTCATTCTTCTTCTTCTGCAGGTTGCCTTAGACATGAGTTAGAGTTCATTCTTCTTCTTCTGCAGGTTGCCTTAGACATGAGTTAGAGTTCATTCTTCTTCTTCTGCAGGTTGCCTTAGACATGAGTTAGAGTTCATTCTTCTTCTTCTTCTGCAGGTTGCCTTAGACATGAGTTAGAGTTCATTCTTCTTCTTCTGCAGGTTGCCTTAGACATGAGTTAGAGTTCATTCTTCTTCTTCTTCTGCAGGTTGCCTTAGACATGAGTTAGAGTTCATTCTTCTTCTTCTGCAGGTTGCCTTAGACATGAGTTAGAGTTCATTCTTCTTCTTCTTCTGCAGGTTGCCTTAGACATGAGTTAGAGTTCATTCTTCTTCTTCTGCAGGTTGCCTTAGACATGAGTTAGAGTTCATTCTTCTTCTTCTGCAGGTTGCCTTAGACATGAGTTAGAGTTCATTCTTCTTCTTCTGCAGGTTGCCTTAGACATGAGTTAGAGTTCATTCTTCTTCTTCTGCAGGTTGCCTTAGACATGAGTTAGAGTTCATTCTTCTTCTTCTGCAGGTTGCCTTAGACATGAGTTAGAGTTCATTCTTCTTCTTCTTCTGCAGGTTGCCTTAGACATGAGTTAGAGTTCATTCTTCTTCTTCTGCAGGTTGCCTTAGACATGAGTTAGAGTTCATTCTTCTTCTTCTGCAGGTTGCCTTAGACATGAGTTAGAGTTCATTCTTCTTCTTCTTCTGCAGGTTGCCTTAGACATGAGTTAGAGTTCATTCTTCTTCTTCTTCTGCAGGTTGCCTTAGACATGAGTTAGAGTTCATTCTTCTTCTTCTTCTGCAGGTTGCCTTAGACATGAGTTAGAGTTCATTCTTCTTCTTCTTCTGCAGGTTGCCTTAGACATGAGTTAGAGTTCATTCTTCTTCTTCTTCTGCAGGTTGCCTTAGACATGAGTTAGAGTTCATTCTTCTTCTTCTTCTGCAGGTTGCTGTGGACATGGAGTTTGCCAAAAACATGTACGAGCTTCACAAGAGAGTGTCTCCGACTGAAGTCATCATTGGTTGGTGAGTGTGTGTCCATGCAGCGTCACAAACACACACAATGCAGCGTCACAAACACACACAATGCAGCGTCACAAACACACACAATGCAGCGTCACAAACACACACAATGCAGCGTCACAAACACACACAATGCAGCGTCACAAACACACACAATGCAGCGTCACAAACACACACAATGCAGCGTCACAAACACACACAATGCAGCGTCACAAACACACACAATGCAGCGTCACAAACACACACAATGCAGCGTCACAAACACACATCTGGAGAAAAAGGGACGCTGAAAGTCTTAAAGGAATTGTATAGTTTTAGTTCTTAATGGTTTCCAATCCACAAATCACTAAAGTGTGTGTGTGTGTGTGTGTGTGTGTGTGTGTGTGTGTGTGTGTGTGTGTATGTGTCTCTCTCTCTCTCTGTGTGTGTGTCTCTCTGTGTGTGTCTCTCTGTGTGTGTGTGTGTCTCTCTCTCTGTGTGTGTGTGTATGTGTCTCTCTCTCTCTCTGTGTGTGTGTCTCTCTGTGTGTGTGTGTATGTGTCTCTCTCTCTCTCTGTGTGTGTGTCTCTCTGTGTGTGTGTGTATGTGTCTCTCTCTCTCTCTGTGTGTGTGTCTCTCTGTGTGTGTGTGTATGTGTCTCTCTCTCTCTCTGTGTGTGTGTCTCTCTGTGTGTGTGTGTGTGTGTCTCTCTCTGTGTGTATGTGCTGCTGAAGCACATGTGACCCATAATCTGCTCTCTGATTGGACAATCACCTGAAGTAAACACAGTTAAAAATGTGGCCTCCTGTATTTTGAAGTCAAACAGTGGAATTAGCTTCTCCTGCAGAGCTCTGGTCCCATGTGACCTGTACGTCTTGGCCGATAAAGGATGTTATTTAAATTGATTATATGACATGGACCGTACGCGCACTCTGATTGGCTGATTCCCGGGCTGATATTTTCCCATCTCAGACCGTTACCATGACAATCAGTCCGCAGCGCGTATCACATTTGATTTCTTTCCTGAGTTTCCTCTGTAAAAAAAGGAATAATGGGAGCATTCTCAGTGAATTCTATCATCGGACGAGTTTGACGAGTCAGAGGAAGAAATTACAGAAAATAAAGAAGAAAAAATAACTAACAGACAAGATGAGATTGACAACTTTGTTGCAGACTAAAAACACGATTAGGAAAACTAAGTCGGAGATTGATATTTGCATAAATTAAAAATAGTCATATAATAAAACATTTATTAACCTCGCTTAATAAGCCGTTAATTACACACTGTCCCTTTGAATGTAACTCTATTGTGTGTTATTACAGACACACACTAATGCTAGCTCCTGTCTTCTATGGTGTGTGTGTGGCTAATGCTAGCTCCTGTCTTTTATGGTGTGTGTGGCTAATGCTAGCTCCTGTCTTCTATGGTGTGTGTGTGGCTAATGCTAGATCCTGTCTTCTATGGTGTGTGTGGCTAATGCTAGCTCCTGTGCAGGTACGCCACAGGGTTCGACATCACAGAGCACTCGGTGCTGATCCATGAGTATTACAGCCGAGAGGCCTCTAACCCCATCCACCTGACTGTGGACACGGCTCTGCAGAGCGGGAAGATGAACATCCGAGCATACGTCAGGTCTGTGCCGTCACAGACACACTACAGACACAGGCCCTACAGACACAGGACCTACAGACACAGGACCTACAGACACAGGCCCTACAGACACAGGACCTACAGACACAGGACCTACAGACACAGGCCCTACAGACACAGGCCCTACAGACACAGGCCCTACAGACACAGGACCTACAGACACAGGCCCTACAGACACAGGCCCTACAGACACAGGACCTACAGACACAGGCCCTACAGACACAGGACCTACAGACACAGGACCTACAGACACAGGACCTACAGACACAGGACCTACAGACACAGGCTCTACAGACACAGGACCTACAGACACAGGACCTACAGACACAGGCTCTACAGACACAGGCCCTACAGACACAGGACCTACAGACACAGGCCCTACAGACACAGGCTCTACAGACACAGGCTCTACAGACACAGGCTCTACAGACACAGGCCCTACAGACACAGGACCTACAGACACAGGCTCTACAGACACAGGCCCTACAGACACAGGCCCTACAGACACAGGCCCTACAGACACAGGCTCTACAGACACAGGCCCTACAGACACAGGACCTACACACACAGGACCTACACACACAGGCCCTACAGACACAGGCCCTACAGACACAGGACCTACAGACACAGGACCTACACACACAGGACCTACACACACAGGACCTACACACACAGGACCTACAGACACAGGACCTACACACACAGGCCCTACAGACACAGGTTCTACAGACACAGGACCTACAGACACAGGTTCTACAGACACAGGACCTACAGACACAGGACCTACAGACACAGGCCCTACAGACACAGGCCCTACAGACACAGGCTCTACAGACACAGGACCTACAGACACAGGACCTACACACACAGGCCCTACAGACACAGGTTCTACAGACACAGGACCTACAGACACAGGACCTACAGACACAGGTTCTACAGACACAGGCCCTACAGACACAGGCCCTACAGACACAGGCCCTACAGACACAGGCTCTACAGACACAGGCTCTACAGACACAGGACCTACACACACAGGCCCTACAGACACAGGCCCTACAGACACAGGCCCTACAGACACAGGCCCTACAGACACAGGACCTACAGACACAGGCCCTACAGACACAGGCTCTACAGACACAGGCTCTACAGACACAGGCTCTACAGACACAGGACCTACAGACACAGGCCCTACAGACACAGGACCTACAGACACAGGCCCTACAGACACAGGACCTACAGACACAGGCCCTACAGACACAGGCTCTACAGACACAGGACCTACAGACACAGGCCCTACAGACACAGGCCCTACAGACACAGGCTCTACAGACACAGGCTCTACAGACACAGGACCTACACACACAGGCCCTACAGACACAGGCCCTACAGACACAGGCCCTACAGACACAGGCCCTACAGACACAGGACCTACAGACACAGGCCCTACAGACACAGGCTCTACAGACACAGGCTCTACAGACACAGGCTCTACAGACACAGGACCTACAGACACAGGCCCTACAGACACAGGACCTACAGACACAGGACCTACAGACACAGGCCCTACAGACACAGGCCCTACAGACACAGGCCCTACAGACACAGGACCTACAGACACAGGACCTACAGACACAGGCTCTACAGACACAGGCTCTACAGACACAGGACCTACAGACACAGGCCCTACAGACACAGGCTCTACAGACACAGGACCTACAGACACAGGCCCTACAGACACAGGCCCTACAGACACAGGCCTGGAGTAGTGTTTGACCCCATCCACGCTGATATGAGGAACTGGCTCAAACCTTACACCACCCAGTGACACATATGGGGGGGGGGCATCATGCTATGGGGGGGGGGGCATCATGCTATGGGGGGGGGGCATCATGCTATGGGGGGGGGGGCATCATGCTATGGGGGGGGGGCATCATGCTATGGGGGGGGGGCATCATGCTATGGGGGGGAGCATCATGCTATGGGGGGGGGGGCATCATGCTATGGGGGGGAGCATCATGCTATGGGGGGGCATCATGCTATGGGGTGGTATCATGCTATGGGGGGGGGCATCATGCTATGGGGGGGGGGCATCATGCTATGGGGGGGAGCATCATGCTATGGGGGGGAGCATCATGCTATGGGGGGGAGCATCATGCTATGGGGGGGAGCATCATGCTATGGGGGGGGCATCATGCTATGGGGGGGCATCATGCTATGGGGGGGAGCATCATGCTATGGGGGGGGGGGGAGCATCATGCTATGGGGGGAGCATCATGCTATGGGGGGGGCATCATGCTATGGGGGGGGCATCATGCTATGGGGGGGGGCATCATGCTATGGGGGGGGGCATCATGCTATGGGGGGGGGGCATCATGCTATGGGGGGGGCATCATGCTATGGGGGGGCATCATGCTATGGGGGGGGGCATCATGCTATGGGGGGGCATCATGCTATGGGGGGGGCATCATGCTATGGGGGGAGCATCATGCTATGGGGGGGGCATCATGCTATGGGGGGGGGCATCATGCTATGGGGGGGGCATCATGCTATGGGGCTGCTCTTCTTCAGTTGGGACTGGGCTAAGCTGGGTTCATCCCGAGAGAACGTCTGTAAAGACCTGAGATCTGTGGTGAGAGGAGCAGACATCTCACTGTGATACTGACTCTTTGTGTGTCCGTGTGTGTCCGTGTGTGTCCGTGTGTGTGTGTGTGTGTAGTGCTCAGATGGGCGTCCCAGGGAAGACAGTGGGGGTCATGTTCACGCCGCTCACAGTGAAGTACATTTACTACGACACGGAGAGAATCGGAGGTAAACACCCACAATCCTTCACTTCAGTTATAAATATAAACTCACTTCAATCTAATCGTTTACAGTTAAATAAAAACTCAAAGCAGTTTAAAGAAGTGTCTTTGAACATGTTTAAGACGTGATTCTTTCTGTTCCTTTTTCTTTGTGAATATTTAAAATGTAATTATAAATGTTGTTTGTTGTCACGTCCACATCTGCATCAAATCTGTTTTATTATTTCCCTGAATATTGTTGATGTTGGACCAGAGACATGGATAATACATGTTTTTAATGTTTCATACTTAAATACTGCTAATATCTTGGTCCTGAGCAAAGGATTGTGGGAAAAAGGATGTAATAATAAAATGGTCTTGATGCTGTGGTTCTGTCCCTGTGCTCCTCAGTGGACCTGCTGCAGAGGAGCCGACTGGCCCCAAACCGCGCTAAGGGCCTGACCTCTGACCTTTCCCAGGTGGGAGGGGCCGCGTCCAGAGTCCAGGACATGCTGACCACGGTGCTGGCCTACATCGAGGACGTCCTGGTGAGGCGCGAGGGAGGTGCGAGTGAGGGAGGTGCGAGTGAGGGAGGCGCGAGTGAGGGAGGTGTGAGTGAGGGAGGCGCGAGTGAGGGAGGCGCGAGTGAGGGAGGCGCGAGTGAGGGAGGTGCGAGTGAGGGAGGAGCGAGTGAGGGAGGAGTGAGGGAGGTGCGAGCGAGGGAGGCGCGAGCGAGGGAGGCGCGAGCGAGGGAGGCGCGAGCGAGGGAGGCGCGAGCGAGGGAGGCGCGAGCGAGGGAGGCGCGAGCGAGGGAGGCGCGAGCGAGGGAGGAGCGAGCGAGGGAGGCGCGGGCGAGGGAGGAGCGAGCGAGGGAGGCGCGGGCGAGCGAGGGAGGCGCGGGCGAGCGAGGGAGGCGCGAGCGAGGGAGGCGGGGGCGAGGGAGGCGCGGGCGAGGGAGGCGGGGGCGAGGGAGGCGGGGGCGAGGGAGGCGCGGGCGAGGGAGGCGCGGGCGAGGGAGGCGCGGGCGAGGGAGGCGCGAGCGAGGGAGGCGCGAGCGAGGGAGGAGGGCGCGAGTGAGGGAGGAGGGAGCGAGGGAGGTGCGAGGGAGGGAGGAGCGAGCGAGGGATGAGCGAGCGAGGGAGGCGCGAGCGAGGGAGGCGCGAGCGAGGGAGGCGCGAGCGTGGGAGGCGCGAGCGTGGGAGGCGCGAGCGAGGGAGGCGCGAGCGAGGGAGGGAGGCGCGAGTGTGGGAGGCGCGAGTGAGGGAGGTGCGAGTGAGGGAGGGAGGTGCGAGTGAGGGAGGGAGATGCGAGTGAGGGAGGGAGGTGCGAGTGAGGGAGGGAGGTGCGAGTGAGGGAGGGAGGTGCGAGTGTGGGAGGTGCGAGTGTGGGAGGTGCGAGTGAGGGAGGGAGGTGCGAGTGAGGGAGGGAGGTGCGAGTGAGGGAGGAGCGAGCGAGGGAGGCGCGGGCGAGCGAGGGAGGCGCGGGCGAGCGAGGGAGGCGGGGGCGAGGGAGGCGCGAGCGAGCGAGGGAGGCGGGGGGGCGAGGGAGGCGGGGGCGAGGGAGGGAGGCGCGAGCGAGGGAGGCGCGAGGGAGGCGCGAGGGAGGCGCGAGCGAGGGAGGCGCGAGCGAGGGAGGCGCGAGCGAGGGAGGCGCGAGCGAGGGAGGCGCGAGCGAGGGAGGCGGGGGCGAGGGAGGCGCGAGTGAGGGAGGTGAGGGAGGCGCGAGTGAGGGAGGAGGGCGCGAGTGAGGGAGGAGGGAGCGAGGGAGGTGCGAGGGAGGGAGGAGCGAGCGAGGGAGGTGCGAGCGAGGGAGGCGCGAGCGTGGGAGGCGCGAGCGTGGGAGGCGCGAGCGAGGGAGGCGCGAGTGAGGGAGGGAGGTGCGAGTGAGGGAGGTGCGAGTGAGGGAGGCGCGAGTGTGGGAGGCGCGAGTGAGGGAGGTGCGAGTGAGGGAGGGAGGTGCGAGTGAGGGAGGGAGATGCGAGTGAGGGAGGGAGGTGCGAGTGAGGGAGGGAGGTGCGAGTGAGGGAGGGAGGTGCGAGTGAGGGAGGGAGGTGCGAGTGTGGGAGGTGCGAGTGTGGGAGGTGCGAGTGAGGGAGGGAGGTGCGAGTGAGGGAGGGAGGTGCGAGTGAGGGAGGGAGGTGCGAGTGAGGGAGGGAGGTGCAAGTGAGGGAGGTGCGAGTGAGTGAGGGAGGGAGGAGCGAGTGAGGGAGGTGCGAGCGAGGGAGGCGGGAGCGAGGGAGGCGCGAGCGAGGGAGGCGCGAGCGAGGGAGGCGCGAGCGAGGGAGGCGCGAGCGAGGGAGGCGCGAGCGAGGGAGGCGCGAGCGAGGGAGGAGCGAGCGAGGGAGGCGCGGGCGAGCGAGGGAGGCGCGAGCGAGGGAGGCGGGGGCGAGGGAGGCGCGAGCGAGGGAGGCGGGGGCGAGGGAGGCGGGGGCGAGGGAGGCGCGGGCGAGGGAGGCGCGAGCGAGGGAGGCGCGAGCGAGGGAGGCGCGAGCGAGGGAGGCGCGAGCGAGGGAGGAGGGCGCGAGTGAGGGAGGAGGGAGCGAGGGAGGTGCGAGGGAGGGAGGAGCGAGCGAGGGATGAGCGAGCGAGGGAGGCGCGAGCGAGGGAGGCGCGAGCGAGGGAGGCGCGAGGCGTGGGAGGCGCGAGCGTGGGAGGCGCGAGCGAGGGAGGCGCGAGTGAGGGAGGGAGGTGCGAGTGAGGGAGGCGCGAGTGTGGGAGGCGCGAGTGAGGGAGGTGCGAGTGAGGGAGGGAGGTGCGAGTGAGGGAGGGAGATGCGAGTGAGGGAGGGAGGTGCGAGTGAGGGAGGGAGGTGCGAGTGAGGGAGGGAGGTGCGAGTGTGGGAGGTGCGAGTGTGGGAGGTGCGAGTGAGGGAGGGAGGTGCGAGTGAGGGAGGGAGGTGCGAGTGAGGGAGGAGCGAGCGAGGGAGGCGCGGGCGAGCGAGGGAGGCGCGGGCGAGCGAGGGAGGCGGGGGCGAGGGAGGCGCGAGCGAGCGAGGGAGGCGGGGGCGAGGGAGGCGGGGGCGAGGGAGGCGCGAGGGAGGGAGGCGCGAGCGAGGGAGGCGCGAGGGAGGCGCGAGCGAGGGAGGCGCGAGCGAGGGAGGCGCGAGGGAGGCGCGAGCGAGGGAGGCGCGAGCGAGGGAGGCGCGAGCGAGGGAGGCGGGGGCGAGGGAGGCGCGAGTGAGGGAGGTGAGGGAGGCGCGAGTGAGGGAGGAGGGCGCGAGTGAGGGAGGAGGGAGCGAGGGAGGTGCGAGGGAGGGAGGAGCGAGCGAGGGATGAGCGAGCGAGGGAGGTGCGAGCGAGGGAGGCGCGAGCGTGGGAGGCGCGAGCGTGGGAGGCGCGAGGGAGGGAGGGAGCGAGTGAGGGAGGTGCGAGTGAGGGAGGCGCGAGTGTGGGAGGCGCGAGTGAGGGAGGAGCGAGTGAGGGAGGGAGGTGCGAGTGAGGGAGGGAGGTGCGAGTGAGGGAGGGAGGTGCGAGTGAGGGAGGGAGGTGCGAGTGAGGGAGGGAGGTGCGAGTGAGGGAGGGAGGTGCGAGTGTGGGAGGTGCGAGTGTGGGAGGTGCGAGTGAGGGAGGTGCGAGTGAGGGAGGGAGGTGCGAGTGAGGGAGGGAGGTGCGAGTGAGGGAGGTGCAAGTGAGGGAGGTGCGAGTGAGTGAGGGAGGGAGGAGCGAGTGAGGGAGGTGCGAGCGAGGGAGGCGGGAGCGAGGGAGGAGCGAGCAAGGGAGGCGGGAGCGAGGGAGGCGCGAGCGAGGGAGGCGCGAGCGAGGGAGGCGCGAGTGATAGACACGTGTTCGATATCAACAGAAAACAGGGTCGATAGAATGTTAGTTTAACGTCAGTCAGTTAGAAAAAACAGGACGAAAACACAGGAAGTAAAGCAGAGTCACAAGCGCGCTGCATTCTGGGGGATGTAGGCAGAGGCTTCTCGACCTATCACAGCCGAGTATGAACCAAAAACAACTGCACCATGCGTAGCGTCCATGGATCTAAGATTGTTTTTCAATGCCGTGTCAATGTCATGTCCGTGTGAGGCGTAGCATGTGCGGCGCTGCAGAGGCAGTGGACACGGAGACCCGATGCATGCGGCGAAAGCTAGAGATGAACTTTTTCCGCCATGGGGACACAGAACAGGAGATAAACCAGGACTAAACCAGGATTTCACCAGGACTAACTATGGGGGAGACTGCTTGTGAACCTTTGCCTCCAGCCTCTTTCCCCCATGACTGTAAACAAGGCTGCTAACGTGTGTTAGCCGAAACGACAAACTTATTTGTTCAGGTAAAAATAAAAATAATAATCATTATCGACCAATATGAATTACTTTTGTGATATAGTTCTCAGCCATATCGCCCAGCCCTACTTTGTATGGGTCACAGAAGTATTTGGGCTGTTGGAAAGTGCTGTGTTCTCAGTCTAGTAAAGTGCTATGTCCTGTGTTCTCAGTCTAGTAAAGTGCTATGTCCTGTGTTCTCAGTCTAGTAAAGTGCTATGTCCTGTGTCTGCAGTCTAGTAAAGTGCTATGTCCTGTGTTCTCAGTCTAGTAAAGTGCTATGTCCTGTGTCTGCAGTCTAGTAAAGTGCTATGTCCTGTGTTCTCAGTCTAGTAAAGTGCTATGTCCTGTGTCTGCAGTCTAGTAAAGTGCTATGTCCTGTGTCTGCAGTCTAGTAAAGTGCTATGTCCTGTGTTCTCAGTCTAGTAAAGTGCTATGTCCTGTGTTCTCAGTCTGGTAAAGTGCTATGTCCTGTGTTCTCAGTCTGGTAAAGTGCTATGTCCTGTGTCTGCAGTCTAGTAAAGTGCTATGTCCTGTGTCTGCAGTCTAGTAAAGTGCTATGTCCTGTGTTCTCAGTCTGGTAAAGTGCAGGCTGATAACTGCGTGGGCCGCTTCCTCATGGACCTGGTGAACAAAGTGCCGACGATCGCTGCCGACGAGTTTGAAAACATGCTCAACTCTAACATCAACGTGAGTCTTTTAGATCTGTAGCTGAGTTTTCAGGTGAAGTCAGGAGCTCTCTGAGAGGACTGAGCTCTCTGAGAGGACTGAGCTCTCTGAGAGGACTGAGCTCTCTGAGAGGACTGAGCTCTCTGAGAGGACTGAGAATCTTTAGGCCCACGGCCCCAGAACTGTTTGGTCCAAAGATCTTTGATGTTGTGTTTTCTGACCCGTCTGTTGTTCCAGGACCTGCTGATGGTGACGTATCTGTCCAACCTGACCCAGGCTCAGATCGCTCTGAACGAGAAGCTGGTGCTGCTCTGAGGATCTACTGCATTTACTTTTGTACAATTTGTTTTTGGCTGAAATGAGGAAATAAACGAGGAAACCAGGCGCCTGAATGTTTGTTGTGGATCAGGAGAAAAGCAGTGTTAGCCACATGTGTCAAAGTGGGAGGAGCTTTAGCCACATGTGTCAAAGTGGGAGAGGCCTGTTACGATGGTTGTTGGAATAGTTCCAATAGACTTCCATAACTGACTCTGGTAGAAGTAAAGAGGTGATTATGGTGCGTTCACTGCTGAAGTGGCTGAATGTAATAATCTAAAATGCAAAAATATAGAACAAATATATTTTATTAACTTCTTAAATACACATTCAAAAGCTTAGTGCAATTCAATAAGAGTTTAAAGTACAAACACTGCTGCGGGGATTATTGCTGATGACTGCAGACGTCTGTAGAAAACCCTGAATCAGTTCTGACGTATTCAAGCACTTTAAAGGGGACGTAAGATGCACTTGAGTCTCCTGGTTCCTCTGATGGTTCCTCTGATGGTGGTGGAACCAGAAACATCCTGTTTCTTTGATAGCATGTTTTAGATGAATAACAAGAATTTTAAATATCTCAACCCTGTTCAGAGACGGATGCACTTATATGTATAATTATATTTATAACCCAGGGCTGTCAGACCGGTCCTCAGAGCCTCCGGTGAAGTCTGGACTCACATGAGAAAATGGGCGGAGTCTGCTCTGCTGTTGGAATGAAAACCTGCACCATACCGACCTTTGAAGACGGGTTTGACACCTGTGCTTTGATCATGTACAGAAACTAACTTCTAAAAGATTATCTTGCTCCAGTTTGTCAACACTGCATTCTTACTTTCAAACCACAAAACTACCGTACTTTCTGGACTATAAGGTGTGGTCCACATACAGACCACACCTCAATATAAGCCGCAGGTTTTCATGTTTAATGTAGCAGAGACCAGAGGTCACATGACCTGTCTGGTATCTACTGTTAGCTTCCATAACATCTATTTTGGAAAAACTAACTGTTGACTAAGTCCATGAACTCTGTTCTAACAACTACCCAATTCTACCACAATAGAAATACTTATATTTATAAATACACACATTAGCCACATCGCTATATTAGCTGCAGGGTAAAAAAACTCAGAAAAGTAGCGCCTTATAATCCAGAAAGTACGGCACATTCGAACATGTTCATGGCTTGTTTCCGCTCTCTTTCTTTGGCTCCTGTTTGAGAATCTTCTCCACGGCGGCGTAGCTCTGCACCGCGCCGCCGTACGCCCTCTCAACGCCTGTTTTGACCACCAGGGCGGCGCTCTCTGGATAGTACAGTGCGGTGGTGAAGGTCATGAGGCCAGCGGGGTACAGCACCCTCTTCACTCTGGCTCCACGAGAGGCCAACAGCCCCAGGATCCCACTGAAACCCACCACCGCGACCCGAGGGTAGAAGTGTGAGGGCGGGTTGAGCAGGAAGCTGTACGCCTCAGTCCCCGCACGGACGCCATTTTGGATCTTGGGCTTGATTCGAGCGTACGAGCTCTGACACCAGGAGGTGAACGGCTCCACGGAGCTGAAGGAGAAGAAGAGACATGTCACTGAGAGCACAATCTGCAGCAACTAGAGAACTCTCAGAGCAGTCAATTTGACGGCTTTAGTTTTGGAAGCCGAATTTCTCAGCTCATAACTTAGTTCTGTTTCAATGTCTTTTTTTAAGGAATTACCTTTTATTTGTGAAATGTGAGGAGTTCTACCTTTAACTAAAATTCAAATAAAGCCATTATCGATCACTGTCTTTCTAATGGTGCTAAAGGCCATTTTCAAGGTGATGGTCCAGTTTGGTTTTCCACAGGGGAAGAACCAATATTAGTTTCCATAGCAACACAGTTTTCAATAGTACTGCCCCTTTCACAAGACCTTTATTGCTAATTTAAAATGTAAATTTAAAATGCAGCCCTTTTTGTTAACTTGGCCACTCATTCTATGACAGTTGAAGTCCTGTTTCTCCAAGGTGCTGGTCCTGGACTAGCAAGTGCTAGTTACCATAGCAACACAAAGTTCATTGTCAGCAGTTAGCTTTTGGTACTGTTTTTGCTGAATTACAAGTTATATTCACCAGGGCTAAGCAGGTACTAGGAAGATTCCTGGTACCAGTTAAACAAGACTGGTGGAAACGCTCCCAATCTGGGGAAAGTAGAGTAGGGTAGGGTATAGGGCAGAGTAGGGTATAGAGTAGGGCAGCCATTCCCAAACTCAGTAACACCGAGGCCCCCTTAAAAATCTGACGGGTCTGCGTGGCCCCCCAAAATAATAACCAAGAAGACAACATTAAGAATAAGCTCTTCTGGTTATTTTATTTTGGGGAAATAGCCTCTGCTACAAACATTGTAATACAAAAATGATTACAGTGGATTATTCAAGTCAAATAATGAACACAAATATTTTAATATTACAAACAAAACATTATAAATTTAATATTAAATAATTATATATATATATATATATATATTTTTAATGACCTCCCGCGGCCCCCCTGCAGTACCCTCGCGGCCCACCAGGGGGCCGCGGACCCCACTTTGGGAGACACTGGAGTAGGGTATAGGGCAGAGTCAGGTAGGGCTGGTGGAAACGAGGCTTCAGAGAGAGGTTCCGGACGTTTAGAAGCTTCACCCTCACACTAGTAACTTCCCCTGGGTAATATTTCCATGAGTAATATCTATGTTTAATCCTTATACAACTTCACCTTGAGTGTAATCATAAATTCAGGTCAGTTAACGTTGTATAAATAACTTCGTTTGCACTGACCTCCGCAGAGAGGCGACAGTCCGCTCTATCTGCCCGGCTGCAAGCGCTTCCCCCCGGGTAGAGTTGTCCCGTGGCTCCGGTGAGGTGTACAGCGACAGATCCTCCAGACTCAGCGGCCTCACGGGCTCCAGGACCCCGGGGTCGTCTGCCTGGACCACCGGGAGCTCACCACAGTCTGCCCGCATCATAGAGACACTACACCGGTGTAAACACGAGACCTGTGCCCTTCAAAAGCACGGCCCAGACATGAGTACGGAAGCCGCGAGGGAGGACAAACGACTTTGGTTTTACTACTCTGTGTTGGTTCATTACATGATTTAGTATTCAGGAGAACGTTTTGAACTGAAACTTGAAACTGAAAACCTGCTGAAACTTCAGTTAAATTATAGTTAACAAACTTACATTGTTAGCTAAACATACAGTCTATGAAACAGACACACATTTTTAAAATCCACCTCTAACTACAAGCAAACAATTTCATACTTCATTTAATTGATACTACGAATGCTTTAAAGTTTAAACGTCTCTCATTTATGGACACATGTCCAGACTGTAAATATTACACACACAGCCCGTTTTGTTTTATAATTATAATTATTATCATTATTATTATTATTATTATTGTCCTGTATTTGTTGAACTTTATTTGTAGTTTTGAGGCACCTGTTTGTTTCTATGATTAATAATAGATACCTTTTATTTTTTAAATATACAAAAGGCGCCCTCTGCTGGACATCTGGAGACACTGCATCCGTTTTGCCGGGAGTGACGTCACTGTCGGTGGTTGCCAAGGAAACGTCAACAGTCGCACGGAGCCAGAGGAGATTTAAAGTTTGAAAGCCTTAAACTTTACAAACATCATAAATATTGAAATGGAGAATCTCTCGTTTGTGCAGAACTTCCAGGCTCTGTCTGCTTTGCTACATCCACAACAGGACACAGAGGACGACTGCGAGGTAACACCAGAACCATGGGTCACACCAGAACCATGGGTCACACCAGAACCATGGGTCACACCAGATCCATGGGTCACACCAGAACCATGGGTCACACCAGAACCATGGGTCACAGCAGAACCATGGGTAGCACCAGCGAGGACTCCCGGGGACGTCAATTTGACGGCTTATACTTTTGGAAGTGCAATCACTCAGACTCTGTACATCCTTAGTCTTCATAACTTTGTGACTTTTCTCATAGAAATAAACTGCTTTTTTCTTTATTTTTATGTCATTATTTTTGATGAAATGTATGACCTCTGCAGCTAAGCAGGGCAGGGCCTGGTTAGTGCTGTGATGGGAGACCTCTGAACAGCAGGTGCCACAGTGGGGCGGCTGTGGCTGTAAAGTGCCAAACTGTGGTTGTGTCCTGAGATAATGTTGTTTCTCTCACAGACTCTGAGTCCTTCTGCAAAACTGGGGCCTGGAAACATTGGACCAAAACCCAGACCAGACTCAGCAGGTACAAGGTTCATAGAAAACACACTACAAATGTGCTTTTCTATTCTGTCCATTGAGAGAGGCCAATCCTAATCCTCATGTGTTGTTCTGATCCCATGTGTCGTAGGCAGCGGCTGTGACAGTAAAGACATCTGGAGTCAGGAGGAGGTGGCAGAGGGACCTCAGTTTGAAGACCTCAGTGATCCACGGCCACAGCCAGAGTGAGCGAGAGAGACTGCAGGGTTCTCCTTCAAACTGTCAGACAAGGAGAGAGAGAGGGGGAGAGACACAGAGAGTGAGCGAGAGAGACAAAGAGGGAGAGAGAAAGAGAGAGACAGAGAAAAAGAGAGAGAGAGAGAGGGGGAGAGAGAGAGAGACACAGAGAGGGAGAGAGAGAGACAAAGAGGGAGAGAGAAAGAGAGAGACAGAGAAAAAGAGAGAGAGAGAGAGGGGGAGAGAGAGAGAGAGACACAGAGAGGGAGAGAGAGAGAGTGACAGAGAGAAAGAGAGAGACAGAGAAAAAGAGAGAGAGACAGAGAAAAAGAGAGAGAGAGAGAGGGGGAGAGAGAGAGAGACACAGAGAGGGAGAGAGAGAGAGTGACAGAGAGAAAGAGAGAGACAGAGAAAAAGAGAGAGAGACAGAGAAAAAGAGAGAGAGAGAGAGAGAGAGAGTGACAGAGAGAAAGAGAGAGACAGAGAAAAAGAGAGAGAGAGAGAGGGGGGGAGAGAGAGAGAGACACAGAGAGGGAGAGAGTGACAGAAAGAAAGAGAGAGACAGAGAAAAAGAGAGAGAGAGAGAGGGGGAGAGAGAGTGACAGAGAGAGACACACACACAGAGAGAGAGAGAGAGACGGAGAGAAAGAGAGAGACAGAGACAGAGAGGGAGGGAGAGAGAGAGAGAGACAGAGAGAGAGAGGGGGAGAGAGAGTGACAGAGAGAGACACACACACAGAGAGAGAGAGAGAGACGGAGAGAGAGAGAGACAGAGACAGAGAGGGAGGGAGAGAGAGAGAGAGAGACAGAGAGAGAGACACACAAAGAGAGAGAGAGAGAGACAGGGGGGTAGAGAGACAAACAGAGAGAGACAGATATAGAAGTATCCATTCCCTGTGAGCAGGTATGAGGTGATGATGAAGCAGAACGTTGGGACTGAAGACGTGTTTCTGGGCCTCAGTGGAAAAGACCCTTCGTCCATGAGCTGTGAAGCTTTACTGGTGATCACAGAGTAACACACATGTAACACTTGTGCTTCATCAGACCATACTACATACAGTACATGATGTATCAAATATACTATACAGGTACATATACTTTTAAACTAACAAGGTATAGTGTACTCCCTGCTGACAGGGAAACCAGTGACATCACAGGCCCTCAGAGGACCAGGATGTACTTCATCTTATCTACATGTTACAGACAGTCTGTAGTTCATCTTATCTACATGTTACAGACAGTCTGTAGTTCATCTTATCTACATGTTACAGACAGTCTGTAGTTCATCTTATCTACATGTTACAGACAGTCTGTAGAACATTTTCTGAGACGCTGCTGTTTTTGGAGGTTTCTTTCTGTTTCAGGTGAAAATCCAACTTCCCGACACCAGAGTCTGTGACGTGGTCTTAGACGTCAGAGACACGTTCCTGGATCTCAGGACGCCAAAGTAGTGGGTCATATTTTCATTTACTGTAAATACTTTCTGACCTCAGAAGCTAAGCAGGACAGGGCCTGGTTAGAACTGTGATGGAAGACCAGGGACCAGTGTCCTTTGTAGGGCTGCAACAATTGTTTATGGACCTTTCATGTCCCTCTCTCTCTTGTCTCTCTCATGTCTCTGTCTCTCTCATGTCTCTGTCTCTCTCATGTCTCTTGTCTCTCTCATGTCTCTGTCTCTCTTGTCTCTCTCATGTCTCTGTCTCTCTCATGTCTCTGTCTCTGTCTCTCTCATGTCTCTTGTCTCTCTCATGTCTCTGTCTCTCTCATGTCTCTTGTCTCTCTCATGTCTCTGTCTCTCTCATGTCTCTGTCTCTGTCTCTCTCATGTCTCTTGTCTCTCTCATGTCTCTGTCTCTCTCATGTCTCTTGTCTCTCTCATGTCTCTGTCTCTCTCATGTCTCTGTCTCTTGTCTCTCTCATGTCTCTGTCTCTTGTCTCTCTCATGTCTCTGTCTCTCTTGTCTCTCTCATGTCTCTGTCTCTTGTCTCTCTCATGTCTCTGTCTCTTGTCTCTCTCATGTCTCTGTCTCTCTCATGTCTCTTGTCTCTCTCATGTCTCTGTCTCTCTCATGTCTCTGTCTCTGTCTCTCTCATGTCTCTTGTCTCTCTCATGTCTCTGTCTCTCTCATGTCTCTGTCTCTTGTCTCTCTCATGTCTCTGTCTCTCTTGTCTCTCTCATGTCTCTGTCTCTCTCATGTCTCTGTCTCTCTCATGTCTCTGTCTCTCTTGTCTCTCTCATGTCTCTGTCTCTCTTGTCTCTCTCATGTCTCTGTCTCTCTTGTCTCTCTCATGTCTCTGTCTCTCTTGTCTCTCTCATGTCTCTGTCTCTCTTGTCTCTCTCATGTCTCTGTCTCTCTCATGTCTCTGTCTCTCTCATGTCTCTGTCTCTTGTCTCTCTCATGTCTCTGTCTCTTGTCTCTCTCATGTCTCTGTCTCTCTTGTCTCTCTCATGTCTCTGTCTCTCTCATGTCTCTGTCTCTTGTCTCTCTCATGTCTCTGTCTCTTGTCTCTCTCATGTCTCATGTCTCTGTCTCTCTCATGTCTCTGTCTCTTGTCTCTCTCATGTCTCATGTCTCTGTCTCTCTCATGTCTCTGTCTCTTGTCTCTCTCATGTCTCTGTCTCTCTCATGTCTCTGTCTCTTGTCTCTCTCATGTCTCTGTCTCTCTCATGTCTCTGTCTCTTGTCTCTCTCATGTCTCTGTCTCTCTCATGTCTCTGTCTCTTGTCTCTCTCATGTCTCTGTCTCTCTCATGTCTGTCTCTCTCATGTCTCTGTCTCTCTCATGTCTCTGTCTCTTGTCTCTCTCATGTCTCTGTCTCTCTCATGTCTCTGTCTCTCTTGTCTCTCTCATGTCTCTTGTCTCTCTCATGTCTCTGTCTCTCTCATGTCTCTGTCTCTCTTGTCTCTCTCATGTCTCTGTCTCTTGTCTCTCTCATGTCTCTGTCTCTTGTCTCTCTTATGTCTCTGTCTCTTGTCTCTCTCATGTCTCTGTCTCTTGTCTCTCTCATGTCTCTGTCTCTCTCATGTCTCTGTCTCTTGTCTCTCTCATGTCTCATGTCTCTGTCTCTTGTCTCTCTCATGTCTCTGTCTCTCTCATGTCTCTGTCTCTCTCATGTCTCTGTCTCTCTCATGTCTCTGTCTCTGTGTCCTCAGTAAACTGGGCCTCCATCTTCCTCAGCCGGTGCAGAGTCAGGAGGGGAAGGCTCAGTTCCACAGTGAAAAGCAGGAGCTGGAAGTGACTCTGACCATGAAGCGGCCGCTGGACTTCATCAACAGGAAGTAAACATCTGTGGACTCTTCTGGTTTAGAGCGTTACCAGCTGGACCAGGCCTAGGCACACGTTAATCTTAAGATTTTATGCAAAAAATCTATTAATTCATACAAATAAATGTAACTGAGTATACAATCGTACTATTAGCACTTGTTTCTTTTGTTTTGTTTTTCATCCAAGCTCAGATTAGAGCCTCTGCTCCTCCAGATGAAACAGTTGAGGTTTGGGACCACAGCCTGAGCGTTCACACACATAGATTGTTCTACAGAAATATACTGTATTTTGGACATTATAAAGTCATTAGTTGTCAATAAACATGTTTTCTGCTATTCATTCACTCGTTCAATAAGATCTCAAACTAGTTAATGTGAAGCAGCCCAGGAATTTACAGGAATTAGAGGCTTTTTCCATCATAAAGGATAAAGAACCTCATCCACAACTACAACAGAAGACTAAGCTTTATAGATGTTAAATGGAAATACACTCTACTGAGAACTGGGGGATGGAGACTTTTAATCAGGGTCAGAGGAGTTTTTGTTGTCATTAACAATTGAAAATATAAGTCATACACTTGACATCATACGACATTGAAAGAAAGTGGTTGGGTTACTATCCATACACTATCAAAAGTGAATAAAACACATTTTTATCTCTGGGTATGAACACCATCAAGCCCAGCTGTCTCTTTGCTGGTCTAGGAATCCTACATCTGGTCATTTCCATCTCCACCTGGTAACGAGGTGCAAGTATGACAGGACAAGTTGTGACGAGGTAGCATCCCTCTCCTCCAGCAGCAGCCTCTCACCAGCACCAGCACCAGCACCAGCACCAGCACCAGGACCAGGACCAGGACCAGGGCCAGCACCAGGACCAGGACCAGGACCAGGGCCAGCACCAGGACCAGGACCAGGACCAGCACCAGGACCAGCACCAGGACCAGGACCAGGACCAGGACCAGGGCCAGCACCAGGACCAGGATCAGGGCCAGCACCAGGGCCAGCACCAGGGCCAGCACCAGGGCCGGCACCAGGACCAGCACCAGGACCAGGACCAGGACCAGGACCAGGGCCAGCACCAGGACCAGGACCAGCACCAGGGCCAGCACCAGGGCCAGCACCAGGGCCAGCACCAGGACCAGGACCAGGGCCGGCACCAGGACCAGGGCACGTCCCCATCACATGACGCAGATCGTGCTCCTGCATTTCCGACACAACAACCCGCACTCCCCCCTCCAGGAGCGGTCTGAGCCTCCACGGTCCTCCCTGCTCCACGCCCGGGCTTCGGCTCTGAGTCTCGCCATGGCAGATGGAGAGAAGTCCCCGCTCCTGTCTGACCTCGGGGATGGAGCTCTCGGAGGAGGTAGCGAGGGAAGCGGCCTCAACAAACCCCAGAGTGAGTGAGCCATCTTCGGGTCCACGTCCTCCCATCCTCCGCCCGACTCTGTTAGCCTGTTAGCATCTGTAGCATCTCATGTTTGCACTCCCAGTTAGCTTCTGCACTAAAACACGCAATGTAGTCACTTACAGCCAACACATTTTACCTATTTAACAGCTGTATGAATATAGCTGTATGTTAAAATAGTAATAAACACATGTTAATTGAATTTTACGCGTCATTTCTATTCCATATGTTAGCATTTAGCATGTTAGCATCGCAGCTTAACCGGCAAGTTAACCGGTTAACTGGTGTTTGTCAAATCTTGCTCATTGTCTTTACACAAGCTACAGTCTGCTCCAGTTTGGATGTTAAACGACATGATTTTGTTGAAATGCGGTGTTTACTGCTCTTGATGTAGTTAGCATCCTCAAAACACCTGACTTGATGGACGTGTGGTTGCGCCAGTGAGGGAGCATCTGTCGGTCAGCACCAACCAATCACAGCGCGCAGGAGGCGGGACATAG